GACCATATCACCTATTGAGTACTGATTGGTCTGTAAAATTTTGGTTTGGCATCGTGTGCCCCATGTGCCTGAAGTCGTGTAAAAGGGTCCTTTACTTTGCTTCATTTTTTTTTGGTTATTGAATAGCAGAGACTTTCCTAGTCTAATTTCTTATGGTTACCAAAACTTGACTATGGTACCACTTTTTAGGCTGATGTAGATCTTTGAGTGTCGGCTCTGTGGCTAAGTCGATGCGAATGCACCGTGATGCCGGGTTCGATCCCAGCTGCAGGCCATGCGCCTTGCGTTGGTTTCGACAGTGGTATCAAGAAAGCCGACCGCCCAGAAAGCAATGGCAAACTACTGGACGTAAATTTGCCTAGAAAAACCACACAACTGCCAGGGGCTGTTAGGGTTGGTTCTGCAACGTCCTGTAAAGGATACGCAACTAACCAGATCTTTGAGTCAGGGGACTTTTGGCTGTGTTTATTTTGCTTTTTAAATAGAAATGAGCTCTCTCCACGATGTAATTTATTAGTGGTCATATTTCTTGTGATAATGGGAGTCTTTTATGACTAGTCTATATTTTTTTTTACCCAAGGGGTAGTCAAGAGAGACGTAAAATCGGTGCATCATGCGTTCATTGGGCTTCTAGACAGTAACCTATGAACGTATGATGTGTTCCTCGGTACTCAAAGAGTTACGTTAGTGAAAATTGCAAACAATATCTATCTGTACAATAAAAGAGTCTTAACTAGTCATGTTTTCTGTTATCATAATTGGCAGAAAATGTTCGAGTTTTGCTTATTATTTACATACAATGTATGATGATTTGTATGTGTGGCTATGGAATTAAACAAAAAAACTTGTACAGTATTCCATATGTGTCCATATATATATATATATATATATGTAGTGATTTGTTTCCTATGTGAAAGAATATATTGGTTGTTCAAGTTCTGCTTAATATTTATGTAAGATAAATATGTATTATTGAAAACTTTGTATATATGATTTCCAAATACCTATTGAAAGCTCATTGCTTTGTTTTCTATTCGTGATGTATCTATAATAAAAGTCAAGTCTTGTTTCAAAAACAGAAAACCTTCTGTGTGCAGTTAATCGTTCTAACATACTTGGTGTTCATATTTTGGCAAATTGCATGGGTAAGTCAAAACCTAGTTTAAAAAAGCGTTTTAAACACAAAAAAACACAAAAACAATCTTTTCCACACCTCTAGGCGTGTTTGACATATACAGCTAGACTATATTTTATAGACCAATCATCACTCGGGTGGTAATTTGGTCAGCATCACGCCGGCCACCGTTACTTTCCCAGGACTTTTGCCTGGTATCTATTCAAGGCTTAGTCTACCTGAGAGCCAAGGCCAATTTACGAGAATTTAGACTTGAACAATAATCTTGATAATCTTGTCAGATGACTTACCATAATCACCTTTTCTTGTCAACATGACACATGATGATAAGTAATTTGTTTATGTATATTTTTAGCGCTGTAATTTACTGATACTGTCGTCTCGACTGTATCCATGCCAGCTGCCATTGTCACCATCATCATCATCATCACACCAGTAAAGACTAGCAATATCAGAAGCTGGGAGCTCAGACACCCTGATACCCGTTACCTCTTTTCTACAAATGTTTCAAGGAGGCTAAGTACACGCCCCCGCCCTTTTTTCCAACATGTATAGTGTATAGACTGTCCAGAAAGCAATGGCAAACTACTGGAAGTAAATTTGTCTAGAGAAACCACACAACAGCCAGGGGCTGCTGGTGTTGGTTCTGCAACGTCCTGTATAGGATACGCAACTAACCTTCATAATGTAAAGACGCGGCGTCCGTGGCTTAGGCGTTGCGAGTCCGACTCGTAATTCCAGCGTACCGCGATCGAAACCCACTGCTGGCTGCCTGGATTTTTATCATAGTATGGGGCGTCTCTGGTCGACCCAGCCTGAAATAGGTACCAGGTTGACTGTCCTGGGGAAGTAGACAGGCCGGCGTAACGCTGACCACATTACCCACCTAGTGCTGATGGTCTGAAAAAATGTGGGCCCTCTTCCCATATACCCGATGCGCCTAAAGTCGTGAAAAGGGATCGTTACTCTACTTTACTATAGTGTATAGACGTTATCTTTTTAAGTATTTGCTTACATATTTCGTAAGGGTCTGTGGCTTAGGTGTTGCGAAATAGCTTCATACTGCCGGGATGCCGGTTCTATCCCAACTGCGGATGATTTGTCTTGCATTGGTTTCGACAGTGGTACCGAGAGCTGACTTTACAGAAAGCAATGGCAAACTACTGGCCTAGCAGACTGATGCAACATGCTTGAGGGATGTAACGCCATCTAAAACAGTCTTGTGCAGCAGTCTCTCACGTGCCTGTGTTGATGCCAAAAGAATTGAGAGCAGTTTTGAGAGTGTTTTATAGAGCTTTTTCTGTCCTCCCTGGGACCTATTCGGTTACTGGAGCTCCCCGTAAAATAATCTCTTTGGGAGGCGATAGTCTGTCATGCGAGCTAGGTGACCAACCCAGCGCAGATGATAAATTTTCAGTATCATATGGATGCAGGTTTGCCCTTATCAAGAACCACAGTATTACTGATCTTGTCTTGCCGTTTGAATTTGAGCAACTTTCTGAGACAAGTTATATGAAACTGATTCAGCTTTTTAGCATGGCGCTGATACACAGTCTGTGTTTCGCAAGCGTAGAGCAGTCCTGAAAGATTTACAGATTTATAGACCTTTAGCTTGGTCGTGCTCAGCAGGGAAATACCATTTCTGTTCCAGACACTGGTATAAGCCTGCCGAAACTGCCAATGGCCTTTGAGATTCTAGCGTTGATCTTGTCGTCTATGTTGACTTTCTAAGATAGGGTATTGCCAAGATAAGTGAATCTGTCGACTACATTTAGCTTTTGATCATTTACGATGATAGTGGGATCACAGTAATTTTATCCGTGGGCCGGCTGATAGATGACACAAGTTTTACCAGTGTTGATAGTTAGCCAGAAGTTGATACAGACTTCAGAAAATCTATGGATGCTGTGCTGCATACTGGCCTCAGAGCTGGAGTTTAGAGCGCAGTCGTCAGAAAATAAAAGGTCCCTAAATTTAGTTGTTTTAGTCTTTGTTTTAGCACGAAACCTTCTCTAATTAAACAAGCTGCCTTCTGCACGGTAATTTAAAGCAATTCCTGGACCATCACAGACAATGACAAGCATTGCAGCAAATGTCATACTGAACAGGACTGGTGCATGCGCGCATCCCTGCTTTTTGCCATTTGAGACAGGGAAAGAGTCCAACGCTTTTCCCGTCTCCAGCACTCCGGTCTGCATACCTTCATGGAACTGCTGTGCAATCCCAATAAATTTCTGAGGACAGCCAAATTTAGCCATGATTTTCCACAGTCCCTCTCTACTGACTGTATTAAAGGCCTTTGTGAGCTGCGGGCCATAAATTGGGATGTCATCTCAAGGCATCTTTGGTTTCCCTTTGATGTCAGGTCTATTGGCTGTTGCCACATGTTGCTCCGCAGCTCCACCAAGAGCTGACAGTCTTGCAAGACATGTTCTGGAGTCTGTTAAGCACGAAGACCCTAGCAGAGAGCTGTCTGGCACATAAATAATTTATGAGTGTTTGTTAAGTTTGCAGTGTCCAGAGGCTGGACTAACTCGTCGCCCTTCAAATCCCAATTCATTGCCACAAAGTGGCACTTATGTCACCAATAATGCTTCCAAATCTAGTTCCAAGTCAAGTTTCTTCAAAAATCAAGTCTTTTACAAGACAGGCAAGGGGCAAGTGCTAAAACACAGATTAAAACCGGAAACGGAAGTGTGAAAAACTCACTGAGCTTGATAAATCGAAAAAGAATTGATTTTCTCTTATTTTATACAAAGTTTTTTTTGAATTATGTCGTTGATCACCAAACCTCACAGTGGCCAGCCACTAAAAATAAGTCGCACCGAGTTGTGAAAGCTGCAATTCGAGTCGTGAGCTTTAAATTTATATATTGTCTAACGTGTCATATGACCAGGGCCATTTTTAGGATGCATGACGTACCTGTGTAGTCAGTTTCCCTATTTTCCTCTGCTAAACACTTATATTTTTCCGCTCATAGAATTTCGCCGCCTCAAACTTTCCCCCAGTGTGCATCTGCACATACTATACATAACTTCACCATGACCCTGCGTGTAATATATATTTGGGCGCTCTACTTGTGTCAGTGTAGATTTTCTTCTCCTTCTTTATCTTCTCCTTTTTCTTCTCTTCGTCTACCAGCCGTAAACTCCGGGGAAAGTTCTGGTTGTTTACTCACTTCTTGATTTCCGTCTTGTTTCAGAACTTGAGATTTGCGCACGAATTCATTTTACAAATTCTGGCTTTACTTGTATGCAGACTGTTATTTCCTAGCCTCTCGGGTAGATGCACTCTGACATCAGGGAAAAAAAACTATTTTTTGCCTTTTAACGTCATGCTTGTCAGTCGACGTCTGTGGAGTAGGCGTTGTGAACGAGCTCGTAATGCCCAGGTGCCGGGTTAGATCCCAGCTGCGTGCCTTGCGACCTGCGATTTTTTTCCGACATTGGTATCGAGAAACTGACCGTTTAGTAAAGCAATGGTAAACTACAGGACGTAAATTTGCCTAGAAAAACCACAACAGCAAAATAAATGCTGGGGGTTGGTTCTGCAATGTCCTGTTGAAGATTCACAGCTAACTTTTTTTGTTAGTAGCAGTGGGTCTATTCTCCACCCCCTCTCTAACCTCTCCTTCATTCCCCCCCCCCCCCCCCCCCCCACACCCCTAATGTGGCCCTAGAACTCACACGAGAAAGTGTCGATCAATGCTCACGAAGTTGCCGAGCTCTTCTGTCTCAGGAATCAACAAGACGAACACCAAGACGAAGCTCTTCAATGAAAAGAATTACAACCGACCAGTGTGTCTGAATGCGTGCACGGAGTTTGAGTTGATTTCACAGCCAGTGTTAGTTGAGAAGCTACAAGAATGCAAACTGTTCAAGCTTGGAGATTTCATGCACCCCTGACTCAGCTTTGTATGCACAATAATCAGTGTTCTTCAAAGTTACAGAAATTTTTGTCTAAGAAGGCAAGTATTTACTTGATAATTTAATGTTTTTGTTTTCTTTCATTTGCTGTCTCTCAGCGGGTGTTTGAGGGGAAAAAAAGTCATTTCCAGTCAGCATCCCGAAGGGGAGCTTTAAGGTATAATTGTGACTAGGTTATGTGCGCTTTGTAAAACGGCTTAGCATTGCATGCATCAAGAACTCTAAAAGGGAGTCCTTCAGTGCTGATGCGATCGAGGGAGACAGACCCAAATACTATCCCCACCAGCAACGAAGTCGTCTACTGGCAAGCCCGATCTGGTTGCCGATGTGATGTAGCTCTCGCCACGATTTGCCTTTTAAAATCTGTCTCTTGCCATTTTCCCATGACTCGTGTATTTTCAGATATAAAAGTGTCTCAACCTTGCCATGGTGGGAGAGCTGTTTCTTAATGACCCTGCCATCTATGCCGTGGATAGTATGGCTACTAGATCTAAGAGATCAACGGGTAGAGAGTAAAGAACAAAAGACACATTGATCCTCAAGGTTGGGCAGCTGAATCTTGTGACCCAGACTTGTTTTTCATAAAACCACATTTTACCCTAAAACATATATAAACATTTGATTAGCTGTCTTTGTATGTAATTTAGAATTGGTACTCTACTGACTTTATCTCATATGACCTCATTCCTGTTTTTATCTCTTCTGGTCACTCCTAACGTCTTTCTCAAACCCCTCATTTCTGTGGTTACTAATTTTCTTTTATGTTTTGTTGTGAGTGACCCTGTTTGGCACTGGAAGCATAAGGTGGGAAAGAATAAGCTTTATATAAGATGTTTCTTCGTGCTGATTAGGATTGCCAGGTGTTACTTGGGTAGTTTTCTTCTAAGTAGTTTAAGATGGTTGTCCTTCCTTCTGTTAAATTTTGAGTAGTTCTTTTTCTCATACCAGGAATATTTTCTGTCACTTTAAGAGGCGCTGTTGTTTTTAAACAGAGAACCTGAGTAATGTGGATGGCTTTGGATGTTCAATATATTATAGGATCTGCCATGATCTGTATTTTTGCATTTTCTAGAAAGCTGATTCACTAGTCTCTTCCTTGCCAGACTATTAATCTTCAGATTTTTAAAGTTACTTTTCATGCTTGGTTTGATTTGTCAATCTTCTAAATTTGTATGCTACTCCTGGGCTCTACTAACTTAACAGTGCATGGTGCAACACTATGAGTTGCGAATTTCATTTGAATGCTTTTTGGCTGTATCCAATGTGGTTTATGTTGTTCACTGCAGATTCAGAAAATGGTGAGTGATCTATTGCCACAGAACTAGTGGTGCCTTATGCAATAATTGCCTGTGCAAATACTGATTTGTTGTAACTACTGCTTCCGTCAATGATAAGCTGCAGTTCTAGGGGCATACTCTTTGTGTTGGCACATCTGACATGAATTTGATATGTGGATATGCGATTGGATTTGCGAAAGTGCTCTCTGTCTTAATTTGTTCACAACAAACAGCGATGGGCTTTTCACTGATACAGGAATGGAGCTGTTGTCAAGTGACCCCTTTGCCGTGAAGTTTGAACTGTGATTACATGATTACCTGTTTTCTTGTCTCCAGTTGTAATCTTCACTTCTTGTTTCTGGATTTATTTTGATTAAGTTTCACTTAGCACTGTTGCCCATGTTGCAGTAACACATTCAAGGATGTACCTTACTCATCCATTGCTTATGTTGCAGTAACACATTCAAGGATGTACCTTACTCATCCATTGCCCATGTTGCAGTAACATATTCAAGGATGTACCTTACTCATCCATTACCCATGTTGCAGTAACACATTCAAGGATGTACCTTACTCATCCATTGCCCATGTTGCAGTAACACATTCAAGGATGTACCTTACTCATCCATTACCCATGTTGCAGTAACACATTCAAGGATGTACCTTACTCATCCATTACCCATGTTGCAGTAACACATTCAAGGATGTACCTTACTCATCCATTGCCCATGTTGCAGTAATGCATTCAAGGATGTACCTTACTCATCCATTGCCCATGTTGCAGTAACACATTCAAGGATTTACCTTACTCATCCATTGCCCATGTTGCAGTAACACATTCAAGGATGTACCTTACTCATCCATTGCCCATGTTGCAGTAACACATTCAAGGATGTACCTTACTCATCCATTACCCATATTGCAGTAACACATTCAAGGATGTACCTTACTCATCCATTGCCCATGTTGCAGTAACACATTCAAGGATGTACCTTACTCATCCATTGCCCATGTTGCAGTAATGCATTCAAGGATGTACCTTACTCATCCATTGCCCATGTTGCAGTAACACATTCAAGGATGTACCTTACTCATCCATTGCCCATGTTGCAGTAACACATTCAAGGATGTACCTTACTCATCCATTGCCCATGTTGCAGTAACATATTCAAGGATGTACCTTACTCATCCATTACCCATGTTGCAGTAACATATTCAAGGATGTACCTTACTCATCCATTGCCCATGTTGCAGTAACGCATTCAAAGATGTACCTTACTCATCCAATATATGTCTTCTTAAGAACTGTGTAATCTGCACCTGGTATTGTACAGGCAAGCTTTTTCATGCCTGTTACTAAAACAAAATGGAAATTACTAGCAGTCTTAAATTGCATCAGAAAGAAAAAAATAGTCCCATGTGCATGGACCGGAGCTATTCTAATACCAGCACGGAAGAAGAAAAAAGACAGCAGAATCAGACACCTATTAATCAGTCAGTTTACTTAGTTATTTAGGAAATTTGATGAAAAACAGTATAAACAACAGGCTAATGGGACATCTAGAAGAAAACACACTTCAACTCACAACAGGCTGGATTAAGAGTATAGATCCACGGAAGAACAAATAATGTATACAGCTGAGAAATAGTTGTCACCCAAGAGGAAAAACACACACTAGCACGCTAGATAGATTTAGGAAAAGCAAGGGAAAGTATACAAATGGTTCAGTCACTATGTTAAGAAGAGAACCACAGTGTCAAAAGTACAAGCACAAGTAAACAACAGAATGATGCTACAAATAGGTAGGTAGGTAGTTGTACCCACAAGCGACAAACACCCGGTGACACAAAGTGCCACCATGCGGATGAGGATCACCTGTAGAAAAGTCCCAGAAACCCCTTTTAGCCACTCGGCCATATAATATGGCTATGCCAAAGCTATGCTATATTCAGGGCCCCCAGCAGAATCCAGGGTGGGACTTTAAACAAAAAATTGCATCCCCTAGGGAATGACTATAACATTCTTTATGATGCTGTCGGCTCTGTGGCTAAGTCGATGTGAACGCTTCGTAATGCCGGGGTACCAGGTTCGATACCAGCTGCCGGCCGTACGCCTTGAGTTGGTTTTGACAGGGGTATCAAGGAGCCGACAGTCCAGAAGCAATGGCAATGGACGTAAATTTGCCTAGTGAAACCACACAACAGCTGGTGGGGTTGGTTCTGCAACGTCCTGTCAAAGATACGCAATTAACTTATATGATTCTACAGTAAGGTGTTCCCAAGGGGTGGAGAGTTGCTGACACAAACATTATTTATAAAATATAAAAATGATGTGCCAAAATATAACTTTCCAATCCAACTACACACTTGGTTGGGGGGGGGGGGGGGAATTGGGGAGGAGGCCAGTGACTAAGCTGTGATTTCTGAAGAATATATTAGTACAACTAACAATAAGATTCAGCAAGCCTTATCTTATCAGTGTTAGAGTATATATCAGTAAATAGTAAACAACATGCAGTTTTGTGTGCTTTATCTCTCTCTATCTCTCTCCCTTTCTCTCTCTCTCTCTCTCTCTCTTTCTCTGTGTGTTTGTGTGTGTGCGCTGTCTTAATGACCTCTTTAACTTGTCCCTGAAGAATTTCCAAATATTAAGAAATATTATTTCCAAAGTAGGCACTTCCACATTGTAGCAAGAGGACACCCAAGTTTAATAGTTTAAACACACACACATTACATTAAAAACACCTTAAAAAATGTAGAATTTATTTATGACAAATAATTTTTCAAATGGAATGCCGCAAAGTCTTTGTTAGGAATGTTATTGATTTTTTAAATTTACAGATCTGGACTAAAGACGATCGTCAAGAAATCCTCAACACCATGGCTGATCTGTTTCTGTTAGGTGGTGACTGTGTTGAGGATCTATGTATATGGTTTGGTCCCCTACTGCTGGAGATTCTGGCCCGATCGACAGAGTCAATATTATACTCGGGACACCTCCAGCTGAGGCTGCTGAAAAAGATGGCGGTGGTGATGTGTAGGGGTTTTCCCATCAATGAGCTGCTTGTGAAGTTAGTATGAGTCAATCATGATTTATTTTTTGCTTAACTCTTTCAGTCCCAGTTGGTTTTAGAGTTAGTTGTTGATTGTGTAAGAAATCGCCATGGCAGCATTCGGGACACCCCTATAAGCGCTTTGTCCCCATCAAGCGAAGAGTTCCAGTTCTTACGGTACCAGTAACGTGTCTGATTGTGTATTCTTCTCACCCTTTTCTTGAGTGTTGAGCGTCGGCCAGGTCTCCTGGTAACACATTTATTAAAGTGGGAAGGCACGAGTTTTGGAAATGCACTGTAAGTATGTTCGCAGACTGAATCTACCACTGATGTGATTGCAGATGGTCCTTCACTGCAATAGCTTGACTGCTCATATACAAATTAGGGCCTATCTATGGAGTCCGCAACACAACAGGTCCTTGCAGCACTTCTTAGCAATCAGTTATTGGCATATGGGACTGGACTATCCACCCTGACATATGTGTGCGCCTGTAAACAGGACATGGGCATCATAAGCATCACTGACCATTATTATGCGTCTGGAGTGGTCCGACTGCCTTGACCACAAACTTACACCAACATAAAGCATTTAGAAACACACAGTCCTGAATAACAGTGCTACAATCTTCCTGTAGTCATAATCTCATCAGAAGTACAGATTACACTGACGGTATATAGCTAATTATATGATTTTTGTAAACAATTCGCGACATTAAAATGACAGCCACCATTTTGTTGAGTCCAGTGCTTGATACCATCTTCAAGTGGCAATTTTTAAGCTAGATGCTGTGAGGGCCCTTCGGGAGCAAGTGAATAGTCTGGAAGCACAAATTCATCATTATGGTCTGAGGAGAATGGGGCTGCGAAGAACTACCAGTGGATCTGGCCGACGTTCAACACTCAAGGGAATGGTGAGACGGATATACAATCAGACAGTTAATGGTGCCATTGGAATTGGAACTCTTTGTTGGATGTTGAAGATGGGGATGGAGTGCTTATGGGAGTGTCCCCAGTGCTATGATGTCAACTCTTCATTCAACATTTAAGCACAGAGTACACACTCCATAGCTCCGGCGATGATTCTTTTTATTATTAGGTACAAAATCCATAGAAAAATGGGGAAATCCTATTTGGCACAATAATCATAGTGAAAAAAGCATCACTGTATGACTTCCAAAGATACAGCATATCATTATCATCATCCTTTGTGTACTGTTGAGACATCACATAAGGCTTGCATTCAATCATTCCACTCTATTGCATGCAACTCTCTCAATTTCTGATACAGAGTTCAGCTTAGCATTTTTAGCTTCTGGTAATGTTCTTAATATTTCCCTTTGACATTCTCTTTTTTTCAGACCTTTTGTTTCCCATTTTAGTCCTTTTGTAATTCTTGTCTCGTTTCCTCTTAGTGTACCCAGTATGTCTCCACCTTCTTTGTCTTATTGCAGTTAATACATGTATTTGTCCAGACATTTCTCTGATCTTTTTGAATGCATCCTATTTTATTATCATGATTTTTCTCAGACATTTTTTTTTTCATTTTGCATTTAACTTTCATTCTATATCTTTGGTGGTTCTCCAATTTTCACTGGCATATGTTAGAATTTAAATAATTTTAGAACTAAAGATTCCTAGTTTGATTAAAGCTGTAAAACTTGGAGCTGCATATTTTGTTAAGGCTTTTAGAGACTGTTGCTAATATATATCATAATTTCCTGTGTTATATCTCCCTGTGAGTCAAAATTGCTACCCAAATAGGCGAAATGGTACAGCATATACTGGACTGCATTAAAAAATATTTGGCCAGATTTCTTTAGCATACCAAGACCAAACATGAAATAGTAATAACACACCATGTGTTGCACAGAAACACACATACATAAACTGAGCACACACAGTGCATTGCCTGGGACAGAAGGAGTTAAGTACTTTCAGTAGGTTACAATGTGTGCATAATGGCAGTACATATACTTGGTGGGTAGGCACAGTTTTGCCTATAATGGCTTCCTCTGCTCTGCATAGTTCAAGTGCTAACCAGTTCTGAAAATGTTTAAGCTGCTGTCTCTATTTCTCCATAACCTTCCTGCCGTGGCTTTATACAACCCTGATATCCCTGGGGTGTATCTTCTACATATTTCAATGAGGTCCTGTACATTTTGTGGTTGATTTTCACATGCTTAGCCCACCAGCTCCAACATCAGCGAGCCTTGCCATCCATAAAATCAAGGATCCTTGATATCCCACAGGGACTCTTCCATCGCTCAAATTTGAAGCCAACTGTATATAATTTTTTTTATAAATGTGACTAGGTTTTCCTCAAGTCCGGTAACCTGCCAACCCAGTCACCAACCATCATTGTGATATAATAAAGTGTCTCTCTCCTCCTTCATGGATTCTTCTATTACTTAAATGAATGAATCAAGAGTTGACATTCCCACATGTGCTCCGTCCCCTTCTTCAGTAACCAGGGAAGAGTTGACATGCTGATAGAACCAGTTGCAACCTGATTAAATGTCGCCTATGTTTCCCACTCAATGTTGAATATTTTCTAGAACTTCTCCACCCCCCCCCCCCCCCCCCCATCATTCAGCGTATGGATTCTCTTTCTTTTCTTTTGCACTCTCCATAGACCAAGGCTATTCAGCTAGAGGCCCATTGGTCATGTCTTGCCCGCAGAGGCCTAGTGGCCCGTGGATCACCTGCCAGTTGTATTATACTAGAGTTCTTTTTGTGCTAGGGCTGGGGCCTCTGGCCCACGAAAGTCCCCATCTTCTAACATTTTGGCCCCTAAATATACTTAGGTGAATAGCCTTACCATTGTGCCCCCACCACATCCATTTTTTTCACACAGTAGACAGCCTAGAGGTGCAGCAGCACCTAATCTATCAGCCTGCTCGGTACTCCGCACACCTGAATATCCTGGGGGGAAAAATCTGTATGCTCTTGATCTGGGTCTTGTCAAGGGATGCAAGACACTGTGTGCAGGACACCACTTCTAGTTTTCTGTTACTTCATGGAGATGAAACAAAGAATTTTGTTCCTTTCTTTTGGATCATGGAAAAGGGGTTGGAATATTAGAGATCATTGGACATGGAAACAAAGTTTCTAGCAGATTTAATCCCCTACACTGTCACTCAGTCACCGGAAGGAAGCTGGACAGCATTTACTTGAGAACATGTGTTGACTTCCGAGGCAAGATAGCAGCGGTCATTGTTGTATTTTCTAACCGCCACTATTAATGCGTGATGAGAATGGAATCCGTTTATAATTAGTGTGATGCAGAAGTAACAAAGGAAGTCAATTTAAGATTTTCGCTGGTGCTACGGAGTTTCATGCATCTGAGCTGAAACCATCTTGAAAAATGTTCAACAGTGTGTGACCGATCTGACATATTTGTTGGTTATGAGTCGCCGCCACACACTAGGGGATATATTGCTCACAGGTGATCTGTACTGTGAGAGGTTGGCCAGCTTGTATTATGTTTAAAATGACCTGGGCTCCCAGGGTAATCCAGTTATGAGTGGGTACCTGGTACAAGACCTGGGAAGTAAAGGGGGCGGCTGGATGCTGATGACAGCACCCACCAAGTGTAGATTGGTCTTTGAAATAAGTCGAGTACTTCTGAAGGCATTAAAATTAGAGTTTTACTTTTTTTGTTATGTTTAACATTATCAGAATAATGAGTTCATAATGATAAACTAATATTTCCTCTGCTTAGTGAACTGTCTATGCTCTTGTGTCTATGTTGTGTTCGATAGTAATCTGCTGTCTGCTGGGGGATAGTTGAAGAAGAGGAGGGCAAAGAAGAAACTGGAATGACAACATCAAGAAATGTGCAGGACTAAGTTATCAAATGGAAGAAACATGGCAGGTTTTTTATGCTAGTGCTTCCATATATACACACCTCCACAACCCTAATGGGTCGAGGGTTATGTTATGATTATGTTGTAAGAATTCATAGTTATTTTTTCTTGTTTGTTTTCTAGCTTCTGTAGCCTCCATCTGTTATAAAAAGTGACATTAGTATTTTTTCAAGAGGTTTTTATCTTACTTTCTTGAGTTTGATTCCTCTTATTTTTTTTCCAAAAAAGTTATTCATATTACTATTATTATTGATTTCTTCTGTGGGTTGTCTGTACCAAAAGCAGTGGGCGCACTTGTAAGGTTGTCAGTGTGTCAGGATGGGCACAAACAGCTAAAGAAGGACCTAGGCAGTGTAGTGCTAAGTTTTTCTCATCCCAAGGGTAGCGCTCAGTTTTTCTCATCCCAAGGGTAGCGCTCAGTTTTTCTCATCGCAAGGGTAGCGCTCAGTTTTTCTCATCGCAAGGGTGGTGTTTATTGGACATATGATGTATCCGGGCTCACACCTAATGGGGAAAATACAAGCCACTAACAAACCTGGTTCTCAAAACAGTAAGACAAACCATCCCAGCACTGGATACAATATTAATGCACTTGATTATGGTAGTGGTGTACCTAAAGAGGGAGGTGGCTGTTGGTTGGTTGGTTTGCGTTTACTGACAGTAAACCCTGATGGAAAGACCTGGTTGTTCGTCCATTTCTGGACTTTAGCTTAGTTCCAGGAACAAAGTTATGTATGTGCATCTGTTTTAAAGATCTTGCTTAGGTGTATGCAGACTGTTGGTTCCTTGCCTCTTGGGCAGATGCACTCCGGCTTTGAAAGGAAACCCCCAGTTAGTCGACTCTTATGACAGGCTTGGCTTGTTAAGGAAGCAGTGGATCTATTCTTGTTCTACCCACAATGGGACCCAGGAACTCTGGGAGCAGGTGGCTGTGATAACTGCTATTTTTGTATGGCTTCCTGTGCTCCATTATCACCCATTAGAGCATAGCTGCCAATCATTTTACGCCACAGCATCCGTTCATTTACCATTCTCGTATAGTGCTGACTTTTACAGTAATGTGACTTCCGGTCCATTATGGAGGACATGGCAGGGCAAAATGTTTAGCTTCAAAGTGTTTTTTTTTTTGCTTCTAGTGCTTTGCTAATGCAGTTTCCACATATAGACGGTGGTCTATGATTTTGCTGCCTGAGCTACTGAGTTTAATGCAACCCTCTGTGTAATTTTTTTTACGTGGAATGCCTTTCATTTGTTCAGTGGGTGAGTCACAGTATTCGATGTGGCTGGTAGCCGGTTTACATGTGGGCTGATAAAATACCTTATGTAATAATTATGTGTGTGTATAGCCTGCTTTTCACGTCTGACTTCTTCTTCTTCGCTTCCTCTTTTACCGCTGTGGGTCTCGAGGGAGATATAAGGTTCTGTTTCTAGCTCTTCTGGCCGCCTCGACCATAGGCACGATCGTGCTGTTGTAGAGTTTTTCTGATGTTATCCTTCCATCTTGTTCTTGGTCTACCTCGTGCTCTACGTCCTTCTTCTCTTTCCATGTATGCTTTGTATGGTATGGTGTCACACGTCTGACTGCTTTCGACAAACTGCATTTCTGGTGACAACTGTTAGCTACTGCCATATGAATTTATTGCGTGCACATATTTCTGGATTGTGCCGGGGCTAATTGTTTGTTGACCAGCTTTTCAAATTTAATTTGATTTGCACTGGCACAGGAATGGGGCAATTATGTGGTGACCTGATTGCAGTGAGGTTGAAACCTCGATTAAGACATTGTTTGCTTTAAAATCGTCACTCTTTTCCTCAGGTTTGCTAGGGATTTTGTTCGGCATTTTAACCCCTTTACCACAAAAGATACAGACAGTGAAGAACCACCTCCAGAGGCGGACAGGAATAATGAGGAAAGTAAAGAGGCTTGTGTGGATGCGCGTACCCAGGCAAGTAGTTTATGTGAATCTAAGCCAGTCAGTCAGTTACTACATGTAAGTTAGTCACACTTATTGTTATATATAAGCTAGTCAGTCGGTTATTGTGTATGAGTTAGCCAGTCACTCTTCTTGTAGTGACATGTCAATCTCCTTGTAGTGACGTGTCAGTCTCCTTGTAGTGACATGTCAGTCTCCTTGTAGTGATGTGTCAGTCTCCTTGTAGTGACGTGTCAGTCTCCTTGTAGTGACGTGTCAGTCTCCTTGTAGTGACGTGTCAGTCTCCTTGTAGTGACCTGTCAGTCTCCTTGTAGTGACCTGTCAGTCTTCTTGTAGTGGTGTGTCAGTCTCCTTGTAGTGGCGTGTCAGTCTCCTTGTAGTGACATGTCAGTCTCCTTGTAGTGATGTGTCAGTCTCCTTGTAGTGACGTGTCAGTCTCCTTGTAGTGACGTGTAAAGTCTCCTTGTAGTGACGTGTCAGTCTCCTTGTAGTGACCTGTCAGTCTCCTTGTAGTGACCTGTCAGTCTCCTTGTAGTGACGTGTCAGTCTCCTTGTAGTGACGTGTCAGTCTCCTTGTAGTGACGTGTCAGTCTCCTTGTAGTGACGTGTCAGTCTCCTTGTAGTGACGTGTCAGTCTCCTTGTAGTGACGTGTCAGTCTCCTTGTAGTGACGTGTCAGTCTCTTTGTAGTGACGTGTCAGTCTCCTTGTAGTGACGTGTCAGTCTCCTTGTAGTGACGTGTCAGTCTCCTTGTAGTGACGTGTCAGTCTCCTTGTAGTGACGTGTCAGTCTCCTTGTAGTGACGTGTCAGTCTCCTTGTAGTGACGTGTCAGTCTCCTTGTAGTGACGTGTCAGTCTCCTTGTAGTGACGTGTCAGTCTCCTTGTAGTGACGTGTCAGTCTCCTTGTAGTGACATGTCAGTCTCCTTGTAGTGACGTGTCAGTCTCCTTGTAGTGACGTGTCAGTCTCCTTGTAGTGACATGTCAGTCTCCTTGTAGTGACCTGTCAGTCTCCTTGTAGTGACGTGTCAGTCTCTTTGTAGTGACGTGTCAGTCTCCTTGTAGTGACATGTCAGTCTCCTTGTAGTGACCTGTCAGTCTCCTTGTAGTGACGTGTCAGTCTCTTTGTAGTGACGTGTCAGTCTCCTTGTAGTGACGTGTCAGTCTCTTTGTAGTGACGTGTCAGTCTCTTTGTAGTGACGTGATGATGATAGAGAACTACAAGTTAAAACAGAAAACTTGTTTGTACATTAAACAGAAAAAAAAAAACCTGTTCATAATAATGAGACGGCATATAATATAGGTTAGGTCAACCTGAAGAACACCTGTGTGAAAGGCAAAGAATGGGTGAGGGATGATTGAATCCCGAAAGAATAGTGGATGTATATGGGCAAAAGTAGTCAGGCACATGAGTGTGTGAAAAGGAGAGAGAATATGAGGGCATTCATTAGATTGGACCCCAAGAGTGTAGGTTAAAAGTAAGGTATGCTCCAGATAAGATTCGTGTGAAGTTTTGTTTGGTGTGGGTCTCCACTCCTGAGGATGATTTAGCGGTGTGCTTGAGTGGTGAGCTTGCTGTAGCCAAACATTTAGATATATTCGGCAGTGCTGTGCGTTGTCAGATAAATGAGTGTGCAGGAAATACTACTTGAGTTCTAATTATCTATTACTGTATTTTGGATGATTGCCTAAAGGTGGAACGGAACAGTTACCAATTGGTAGTGCAGGTAATAAGTGACTAGGGCCGATAGACAGATGCCATATGTAGCAGTCAAGTGTGGCAAATAAACACTTGAACAGGCCAAGTTCAACATGCAGCAGGTATAACATGAAAATAAATACTACCTTAACTGAAGTAATGCAAGACAGCAGAATTCCTAGTTTGAAGCAAATTGAAGAATTTAAATGTCTAGGAAGTATATTCTCAGTAGGATGAGAGATTAGATTGGGAAATAGAAACAAGATGCCAACAAGCCAGTGCCCTTATATACCAACCGACACCATTATTAAGGCATCCAAACATAGGTATTAGCGCCAAGAAACATATTTTAAACAGCATATTCATATCAATAGTGTGCTAGGCTTGTACGTAATCAGAGGCTAACCAAGTAAAATTTATACATGTGAAATCAGATGTCTGAGAAAAGCCGCCAACTTAACCATCCGAGACAGAAATGATATCAGCTGGACTGTAGGACCAACACCATTGAGCAAATTTGAGAAACAGTAGATAAAATGATATGGTCATCTAATAAGAATGCAGTTAGAACAACTCTCAGTGCAGGCGCTATACAGGAAAAGACCTGTATTAAAAGCAAGAGGCCACCCATTAAAGATCTTACATCAGCACGGACTGACAGTAGCCATTGCTGCCCATCTAGAGTCGATCACAGACTGTTTCTTCCCAAAAAAGTTTAACATCAGATGTAGAAATAGATGATGATCAAGGAATTGTTGTTTGATGCTTGGATGATTTATATGGACACAGGATGAGATAGTTTCTGCCTCTTCTGCTCTCTACATTACTAGATAATAGCGGTAACCTCCTAACTCTGACCTTATAGACCAGTGGTTCTCAGCCTGTGGGTCGTGACCCGTTTGGGTTTCCAATGACATTTTCACTGAAGTTAATTGTATCGTTGGGGGTCATCACAACATGAGGACAAGTATTAAAGGGTTCGCAGCATTGGGAAGGTTGGGAACCACTGTTGTAGACCGTAACTTTTTGTCATGGAGCATTAGTAACAGCTTGTAACACTAAAGGTGCTGCTGAATACTGCACGCAATGAGGACTTCCCTGGGGAGTGATCTCAACAAGAAGTTTCAGGTCATCGGAAGGCGCTCCTTTCACTTCTGAGCATGCTCTGAAGCAGTGGTTCTCAACATTCCTAAAGCCACAACCCTTTAATACACTTCCTCATGTTGTGGCAACCCCCCTACCATAAAATTATTTTTGTTGCTACTTTATAAGTTCAGTAAATATGTGTTTTGCAGTGGTCTTAGACTACCCCTGTGAAAGGGTTGTTCCACCCGCAAAGGGGTTCCAGACCACAGGTGGAGAACTGCTGCTCTAAGGGCATAATTATCAATTTATGACAGCTGTCAATTAAAGTGACAAATTAAATGAGACAGATAACATGGTTAAGTCATATTGTTAGGATGCAGCTAGAACAACCACCAACACAAGCAATAGGGCCTACACATGATATGATCTAATATGAAAGCAAGAGGTTCCTTTCTAGAAGATGAATTGATGACATTAAGGACCTTCTGTATCAACATGGAATGACAGATGCTAGTGCTACCCATCAAGCAATGGGACAGTTTCTTCCCCACAGTGCTCAACTGCAAAAGTGGAAATTGTTGATGATGATCAAATACAGTAAGGTATAAATACTTATTTCATTCATTCATTCAGTAGCATGTCCCTCGCGGAACCTCGCTGCCATAACAACCCTCCGGAAAACTTCTCCTTCTCATGAGCAAGATGTCCTGCGTTGTGCCCCAGGCGTCGATCATCTGCCATCATCCTGCACCCATCTTCTCCTTGGGCTTCCTCTTTCTCTCTTCCCAGGCATATACCCCGTCCATGTTATTGTTCTCTCTAGACTTCCATGACGTTTCAAGTGACAAAATATTTCAATTTTTCTTGTTTTATTGTCTCTTACTAGCCAACCCTCTTCAATGTTCAGCTCTTGAAGTATGGATGCATTTGTTCTTTTCTCACAAGATATTCTTAGAACCTGTCTGTAACATTTATATTCAAATGCATTATGCGCTGTTCCGCTTGTTTAGTAAGTGTCCAGGTCTCACAGGCGTATGTTGCAATGGGAAAGATGCATGCTCTTAAAAATCTGACCTTTAAATACTTATTTAGTTAGGTGCAAATATTCTTCAGGACTACACAACAGCATTTGTTGGCTGTGTGAGGTTTTACTAACCAGTTAAAATTAATGCCTTTCATTCTTGCCTGATACCCGGGTTTGAATCTTTGATAAAGTGATGGGCATGTGCTTCTTTTGCCGGCATTAAAAAAATCTAACTATTTGAACAACTTGTGGCTGAAGATTCTAAACCAATTCCCCCTTCCAGTAATCTACACCCACAGTAAAAAGTAAAAAATACAAGCGGCAAAGAGAAGGTTACAAAGAATGTTAGCATTAGAGAGAAAGTTGGAACAAGAACGTGTATGAATTATATTGACAAAGGATAAAATGGTTCAGCAATCTGGTAAGAAAGCAACCAGACCAAACTGCATCTGGAACTTTTCACAGCAGAACATCTGGGAGGAAAGCAAGGGGAAGACCATGAAAGAGATGGATAAATGAAGTGGCTAAAGCGTGCAAAAATAAGAAACAAATCCATCACCCAAGCCCCTTGAGAAGCGCAAGACAAATACGGGAAACCACGACACTGGGCTGCAACCTGGTATCAGTGAGATGACAACAGAAGAAGCAGAAAGACTGTGTACCTAGTTTTACTATGCGCAGGGTATGTTCACCAGTTTTGCCATTCATTTCTGAATGGCGTGGCACTTCTACTATTCTCATAATCGCAAAATTTAAAATTACATAAAGTAATAAGAAGCAAAATAGAATATTACATTTGTTTGAAATTGACATTCTTTTGTGTTCATGTTATTTTTGTGTTCATCTTATTTTTGTGTTCATGTAATTTTTGTGTAGATCTCTGACTTGGACTGGTGTCATGCCATGTGGAGCTACATGAGATTTCTGCCCGAGTTTGCTACAACAATTGACCTGACACCTCTAGAGGATTACTTGTCTTGCACTGATCCTCTTGTTAAATGGTAAATAGAAGTTACTGATAGGGCTTAGTTTCAGCCCTCGTGAAAAGAGATACAAGTAATGAGGTGCTGCTGTTGTGTGAGGTAACAGAAATTGCTGTATACTAAATCTAGGATCATTATCAGGGGGCAGCTGAACCCAGACCTTTTGTCTTTTGTTAACATTGAACCTAGACCTCTTGTCTGATGTAAAATCTCAACCTAGACCTCTTTTTGTTAACATTGAACCTAGACCTCTTGTCTGATATAAAGATTCAACCTAGACCTCTCTTTTGTTAACATTGAACCTAGACCTCTTGTCTGATATAAAGATTCAACCTAGACCTCTCTTTTGTTAACATTGGACCTAGACCTTTTATCTGATATAAAGATTCAACCTAGACCTCTCTTTTGTTAACATTGAACCTAGACTTTCTGATCTAAAGATATAAAGTTGAACCTAGACCTCTTGTCTGATATAAAGACCTAGACCTCTCTTTTGTTAACATTGAACCTAGACCTCTAGTCTGATATAAAGTCAAAAGACCTCTCTTTTGTTAACATTGAACCTAGACCTCTTAACTGATATAAAGATTCAACCTAGACCTCTCTTTTGTTAACATTGAACCTAGACCTCTTGTCTCATGTAAAGACTCAATCCAGACATCGGTCTTATATGGACATTAAGCCTAGACCTCTTGTCTGATGTAAAAACTCATCCAAGACCTTGGTCTTGTGTGAACATTGAACCCAGAAAACATTGACCTGATCTGTGATTCTGGTGATTGTGTTAGATATTACGTGACAGCCTATGTTTACCGGCACAGCATATAATGATGATGACATAATTGGTCGGATTTTGTGGTTTATAATTGCTACTCTACATAAAAACTGACTATTTGTATCTTTCATTCACTGTTTGTTTCAGGGCTGCATTGGGGGGGGGGGGGGGGGGGGGGGGGGGAAGGGGGGGGGGGGGGAACAAGAGTAGATCCACAGCCTTCCTTTCAAGCATGTCCTAAGCTAATTGGGAGCTTCTTTTGAATTCAGAGTGCATCTTTCTGAAAGACAAGGAACCAACACTCTACACACAAGCTAGATCTGTAAAATGTATGTGCACGCAACACTCAGGTTCTGGAACTAGACTAAAGTACACAGGTAAATGAACAAGTAGAACTTTTCTGCCAGACTTTACAGCCAGTGAACATAAAGACTTTTGCCATGTGCATTTTATTTCCACAGTAAGTACTCATTTTTAAAGAATTTGAAGTAGGAGAAAAACCCAGCCAGTTCATGTTATTGTTAACATAAAATTGACTTTTCCTGTTTTCAAAGTGTTTGTTTTGTTTCTCTGAAAAATCAGGTACGCTTCACTTGCATTGAGCAGATTCCACGCCTTTTCGAGTTCAGAAGAAAAACAGTTTCTAATCCAGCATTTTCCTCCAGCAGAGCAAAGCAGGCTTTCTATGCAGTTAGTATTATCACTGTCATTGAATATATATTTTATTTCCTTTATGTTTTCTTCTTCGTGTTCGCCAGCTGTAAACTTTGGCGGAAAGTTCTGGTTGTTCATCCACTTTCAGACTGTTCCAGAACTTGTGCTGCATGTGCATCTGTTTTACAGATCTGACTCATTTGTGTGCAGACTGCTGGTTCCTTGCCTCTCAGGCTGACGCACTCCGACTTCAAAGGAAGCTTCCAATTAGTCGACTCTTACGACATGCTTTTGGGTAGGCAGTGCTTCTATTTTTGTTTTCCCTATAATAGGGCCCCGGAACCCACACGGGGATTTCCTTTATGTGAATTTTGGCCCGGCGCTCCAGTGTAGTTGATAGCGCACTGGACGTTGGGTGACAATCCCCATGTGTGTGCGGAGCAGTCTTGGGTTCGAGCCAGGGATGGCAGAAAAACTACATACTGCCAAGATTAATGGTGTATGTGGCCCCGAGGCTGAAGGGTTTTGATACTCACGACACTGAGCCAAATAGGCTCTGCTCAAGTGCTTCTGGTTCAGACCCCCAAAAATATGTGAATTTTGAATGTTATATAACAGATGCTTGAACTCGAGCTTGCACTCAAGTCGCACTACTTTGGATTTTGTCCAGTGACTTCGATGACTTGATACATCTCGTTCTTCGTGGCCAGCCACTGTGAGGTTTGATGATCGTCAGTCTAATACGTCCTGAGATAACAATAGGAACTACTAAATTTATCAAGCTTTCACATTTAGCTTTCTTTCACATTCAACTTTTTTAGCTTTTATATATATGAGACAGCTAGTTTTTTTTAAATTTATCAAGCTTTTACATTCAACTTTTTTCGCTTTTTTATACATGGAACAGTTAGTTTTTCCGCACTGCCATTTCCGGTTTGGTATTTTCACCATTTTTGATTGATTGTTATCATCGTCCTAGGCACAACTTGCAAATGACTTGATGCGTAAAGTGAATTGACTCAACTTGGAAGCATTCTTAGTGACTTGATAATTGACTTGGGACCTCCTGGCAATGACTTGAGACTTGACTTGGGACCTCCTGGCAATGACTTGAGACTCGACTTGGGACCTCCTGGCAATGACTTGAGACTTGACTTGGGACCTCCTGGCAATGACTTGAGACTTGACTTGGGACTTCCTGGCAATGACTTGAGACTTAACTTGGGACCTCCTGGCAATGACTTGAGACTTGACTTGGGACCTCCTGGCAATGACTTGAGACTCGACTTGGGACCTCCTGGCAATGACTTGAGACTCGACTTGGGACCTCCTGGCAATGACTTGAGACTCGACTTGGGACCTCCTGGCAATGACTTGAGACTCGACTTGGACTTTAAGAGTGACGACTTAGTCCAACCTCTGCTCTCTGAATATTGAAGTTATGATTTCTGTCACTATTTTGTCAGTACGTATATCAAACAAATTTTCCTATAAGAAATATGAGAAATTTTTTAATTCATTTCCACTAAAAAAGATTCCTGTTGTTATTGGCATATTATACATTGGTTAGGTTGTATAAAATAATTTATATACTGGCTGATACTTAAATAAAAAAGCTTTCAGATGAAATAAATGAAAATGTTATCTCACTTACCTTCCTGTTAAAAGTTAAATTATTGTTTTTTTGTCCTTTTCTGTGTCTTTTTGCTATCTCTATCTGTCTGATGCTCATCAGTTTTGACTTTTACTTAACATCTGCCCACAGAACTTTGTGCTTCTGGCTTTTCCTCAGGATGTTTCAGAAATGTGACATTGTCTGATCATTCCAAACAGTGCTGGTATACCCTCTTTGAGCTTTGTTTTCTTCAAAGTTGTTGACATCTGTTAGGCTTTTTCTTGAGGGGGGTAAACAAAGATAGCCTGAAGTGTCGTGTTTAATTTTAACTTATACAAGTTCAAATTCCAAACAAAGGTTGTGTTCCAAACAAAAGTTTTTGCATCTAAACAGGGCGTATACCAAGTTTTTCACATGTACCTAGTAATTTCCCCTCGTCTCTGGGTAGTAAGACCATAGGGCCTCCATGGGCCTTAATACCCAAAACACAAGTGTTGGGACTTATTCAGGCTTCATCTATTAAAAAATTTACTCAAATTTTTTTTTAGATTAGTCATTTTTGTTACCAAGTTTAAAAAAAAAAAGAAAGGGTTGAATAAATTATGCAAATCAGAATAGTGGATGTGAATAGATGTTGAGAATTCAGTGTGGTTTATAAATATTATGTTAGCTCATTCAATTTCCTACACAAATATTTACAATTTTATACATGTTATTGAAACGAAGAGACAGTCACAAACGTCAGCATTAGAGACAAAGTTGGGACAAGAGCATGCATGGAACATATTGAAAGACAGAATGAAGTGGTTTGGCCATTTAGTAAGAATGCAACCGGATCAGATTGCCTATAAGGCCTTTTACAGTAGAACATCGGGAAGAAAGGCCAGAGGAAGACCCAGGAAAAAATGGATAGATGGAGTAGCTGAATACGGCCAGAAGATCCAGAAAACTGTCACTCAAATCATGCGAGAGGCACAAAACAAATATTTTAAACCACGACACTGGGCTGCAACCCGGTAAAAGTGAAGAAGACAATAGATATATTGAAACACTTTATTTTGTGTGTGATTGTGTGTAGACTAAGAGAAACACCTCATCAAGGCTCTGTCTTCTTGGCACTGAAACTCCAAAAAGGCTCCGTCTCTAAAGAGTTAAGTCTTTGAGTTTTTCATGCACATCTGTATTTACAGGTGTGGCTTATTTGTGTGCAGATATTGGTTCCTCGCATCCCAGGTGTATTCACTCTGAATTTGAGGGAAGCGCCCCTAATTAGTCAGGCTTACAAGATGTTGTTAGGGAAGCAGTGGGACTATTCTTTTCCCCCAAAATGGGGCTCGGGGACCCAAATGGGAGTGTTGGCGTTTGATGTTTGAGACCAGTGTTCTTCAACCATTTTATACCCGCGGCCCACCAAAATGGGATATTTTTTTGGCAGACCACATGACAGGTAACCTAACTCAGAAACAACTGTTCAAACCGTTGGGTTATGTAACAGGGTGCTGTAATATAACTTGTATGCGGTTCAACAAGGTTTCCAGGATTTATGCATTAGTGAGGTGTTAATCCTACATACTGCAACCCCAGGGTGTAAATACTACCTGCCTTACCGAGTTATATCTTCTTCTGTGATCACCGGTTAAAAGTCCTGGTTGTTGGTCCATCTGGGCTTTGTGTCAGGGCCTGAGTTTTGTGTGCACATCTGTTTTACTGGCTTATTTGTGTGCAGTTGGTTGTTCCTTGCCACTCGGGCAGTTGCACTCTTACCTTCGAAGGCGGCTCCTAATTAGTCGACATGCTTGTTGGGGAGACAGTGGGTCTATTCTTGTCCCCCCCCCCCCCCCCACAATCAATCAGTTAGGTGCCATCTCCACAGTGAAGGTTGAGTGCAATGGATCTCCAACACTCTCTGTTTCTTGTCCTGGTTGTACACTTTCTCAGACTGCTGCTCGTCCATATCTTGATGTTATCCTCCCACTTGTATCATTACCACCTCTTGCCCTCTACCTTTTCCTCAAGTTAACTTTTAATGTGGCTAAAGTATCTCAGTTGTCTCTTTCTATTTCTTTCAGCAGTTTCTTTTTCCTAACATCGATGCCCCAGAAACCACACAGGGAACCGAGTTATATGATAAGGCAGACAATTCTGATGACCCTTCTGAACCCTTCCATAGCCTACCAGTTGAAGAACACTGTGTGAGACATTAATGAGCTAACGATCAGTTAATCCTTCACTTATACCTTGTCTTGTCTATAACAGTGTGAGCATGCAGGTATCTGCCTTAGTGACCAAATTTAACAGAGCACGGCAAAGAGTGGAGTTGGTGCTTGTGGATTCTCTCCAGTCAAACACGTTGCACACTATTCAAGTTGATGACCTGTGCGCACATGTGGTCAGTGTAGGAGGTGTCTTATTGCCGAAAGTGAGGCAGGCAGCAACGGCTCACTCTCAGGTATAGTGATTAGCATGAATGTCACACACTCGTCAGTATGTTAGTGCACACTCATTTCCTGTTTCACCATGTATGCCTCACAGAGCTCGCAGTTTGTTCATGTTCTGTCAGTATTCTGGATTGTGGGATATTGTCTCTTCTGTGTGCTGACTGGTTGCTAGGGGTTTGTTCATACGAAAGACATGAATGACATTCTGAATGCACACAGTTGGTAACGTGTAGACGATGTCCAGTTAATATACTTTTAGTTTCACAGGTGATCTGGTCCGGTCAGTGTCTACTAATACTAGCAGATGCAGCAAGATAAGATGACATTTATCAGACATCAACTTTGCGTCTTCTCTCGTTCACACTCATTACCTTTCAGTCCTGTTTCCTCAGATAAAGAATACACTCAATGGTTGATCCGGCAGTTCTGATCATGGTGGTTCGACTTCTTGACCGATTGGAAGTGGCTGAATGCCACTTTCGGATCAGACTGTCATCTTGCGGTCTTCTCTCAAAGCAGAACTCCTCACGTCATCAAATATACACTGTCACATTCACGCATCCATCACATGCAACATTTCACACCAGCTGCCAAACACATACTAACTGATTAGACCTTCTCTAACCTTACAACCATCACTACTGACGGTCAGCCTACGGATCAGGCTATTATTATTAATGCCTTCAGATAAATGGGACGGATAGAGGATTTTAAGGGCAGTGAATCCACATCACTCGCCAGAATGGCAGACTTGGGAATTAAGATCGGCATATCAAAAAACGAGACGCACACCAGACACGCCAGAAGACTTGTTAATCAACATAGAACTGGTACTATTATCCATCAGACGTTGGGGTTCTTACTGAGGGGAGGATCTGAACACCTATGGACATGTCCGAAGTGCAATGATGATAACTCAACTAACTAACCTTACAACCCCTGTTCTGGGTTTCACATGCTGGTCTGAGCCCTGCTTGAAAATCTTGTGTTTCTACGAGTATTCACGTTCTCATGTATTTGTTTTATCTTGGGGTTTACTCCCATATTATTACTTAGAGAATTCTTATGGGAAAATACCATCGTTAGAGATTGAATCCAATCTAGCACCTTTGGCCCCTCTAATCATTAATTTCAGTTTTTTTTGGGGGGATTTCCTCTTCTCCTCAGTACCTTTATTTTGATTTAAATGTCTTCTTTGATGATTCTTTGCTCGTTTCTTCTCAGCATGTATCCAATTTAGCACCATCTTCTGTGTCTTATAACTGTTGATACCAGTTATTGCCCACACATTTTGTTGTTTATTTCTTCACTCTTTTTTTAATTCATACCATTTTATTTTCAGCATAGAATATTATAGACATACGTAATTTATTACCTGTTTTATTTATTTTTATTAACATAATAAACTACCCCCACAGTTAGCCACTTGTACTTCTAATTTTTTTAGGGGTATTTTTTGTTTTGTTGTTGTTGTTATTGAATATAAAAGATGTACTTTATAATTGGTCTTATTCTATGTTATCGCAGGAAAATGTAAATGTTCAGCCTCCACCAACAGCTTTAGTCTGTAATCCAGATCAGTTGCTGCCTATTGACTATTCGACCCCAGGACCTTCGGGCCAGCAGGCAAGCAAATAGCCACTGTGCCATCATGACTTTGGTTGTTCATTCCCACTTAGCTCTTGCACTATCATAGAGTTTAATTAGAGATATGCAAAGTGAAGACAAATCTGTGGTGACAAGTTGTGAATTAATTTCATTCAAATTGGCTGTATGTACATCAGTAGTGACCATTTAGGGAAGCCAGATTTCTTAAGGGCGCTGTGACCAAATATTAATTATAAGATCACATTGTGCTGCGAGGTCATTTTAACACCAGGCCTTGCTTCGGACTGAAAGAGTTAGGTACAGTGACGTTATGTGAGTTTATTGAATGTTAAAAAATGCAGTATTTTTTTTTTATATAAAAACACTTGTATGGTATTCTGTTTGTGACCTTATATACTTTCTTTGTTGTTCATTTATCAAAGAAAGTGTTGGCTGCTCAAGCTGTAGTTAATCCAGTCATTTCTCGTGAGATGCAATTTTTCGTTATTAGAAGCCCTACTCTGGCTCTTGCCAGGGGCCGCAATATAGCCCGACCATAAATATGAACTAATTGCTGAATGCAGTTTCTGGGACCTCTCCACGATGATCCTCATCCACATGGTGGCACATTGTGTCATCGGGTGTTTATTGCTTGTGTGATGTCCTGTGGGGTAAAAATCTACTACTGCTACTAACTACTCAAGCTGTAATTAATATTTATGTGCATCATCAATCAATATGTTCTTTTCAGAACAAATCAGAGCACGCCTGAGAAACTGCCTGTAGCCGCTTCTCCAGCTTTATTCTGTAGCCAGCTGCCCAGCCCTATGTGTTTATATGGCCAGAGCATCTGAACTGCGGAGGTCAGCCTCTACCTCGTTTTCCAGAAATTGTACCCTCCCTGTTTTTTTTTTTTCAGTGACACTATGACTTTGTTAACAATGTATGTAAGATTAATGTGTATGGTCTTTGAATGCTTTGTGAAAACGATTTCTATTGTTAAGCAGTTACTAATAAACTAATGTCATAAGTCGTCCTCTTGTGGGATGCAGTTGGTCGTTATTTTGAAGCCCCAACCCTGGGTGTTGCCGGGGACCCTAATATAACCCAACAGTTAAACAGGGTTTCCAGGACCTCTCCACGGTGATCCTTGTCCGCATGGTGGCACTTTGTGTCACTGTGTTTTTATCGCTGTGTGTGATATCCTGGTGGGGTAAATTTACTTGCTTACTAATAAATTACATTCATTTATTGGTGGTATGAAGAATAGAGGGAATAAAATGATAGGATAGAAGCACAAATGTGGCATTGTAAAGGTCACCTGTTGAGGAAAAGAGAATAGTATAGACTGAATGTCTTTGCAGTGGAACCTTCAGGGTCACAGAGATAAAAGCAGACTCAGAACACATAGAAGGGAGTTGCATGTGATAGCACAGGATAAGGCAACTTGGTGTGATTTGTCTGAGGGCCTATGCTCCATTATGGGGTGAAGGGTTTTGAAGAATATGTCTGATCTCCCACTGAAAGCTCATTGCTGTTTTCTGTTCCTGGTTCTGTATTTATAATAAAGTCAAGTTTTGTTCATAAATTTGTGTTAGTGTTGTTTGTCATCATCATCATAAACCACTTTTGCTGTTAAGCTTCGTGGGGAGAAATAGTTTGCGATCCAGTGCACGCTGTCTGCCAATGGCTATTGTCATGCTGTGAAGGCGTAGTATCTCTTTAATCTTGCTGATCCATATTTTTGCAGCCGTCCTCTTGCTCTTGTAGCTGATCTTCTAAGATGTAGTGCTTGTGATGGCATTTGATCTTGCTGCATTCTAACAAGATGGCCAAACCATTTGATCTGCTGTTTCTCAATGAATCTAGTACAAGGTGTTGTTCCCAAAATTTGTTTGATAGTATAAATACTCAACTCGATCTCAGATGGTTAGGTAGTTTACAGCTAAGCTGCGATATATATCCAACACTTCATTAGTCACCTTTTATGACATGCTTGTTAATGAGGCGTTGGCTCTGTGGCTAGGCGTTGGCTCTGTGGCTAAGTCGATGCGAACGCTTCGTAATGCCGGGAGGCCGGGTTCGATCCCAGCTGCGGGACATGCGCCTTGCGTTGGTTTCGAGAGTGGTATCAAGAAAGCCGACCGCCTAGCAAGCAATGCCAAACTACTGGACGTAAATTTGCCTAGAAAAAACTCACAACAGCCAGGGGCTGTTGGGGTTGGTTCTGCAACGTCCTGTAAAGGATATGCAACTAACCTGTTAATGAGGCAGTGAGGATATCCTAACCACACACACAAAACCATGTTAACATATTAATTGTAACTACTTAGAGCTCCCCGTGCATTTGAAGAATTCAGAGGTATTTTATGTTCTTTATTTGATTTGTGTCTAAATTTAGTATTACAATTTTGAAACAGGGCTTTCTTTGAAACATTAAATATTTTTTTTAAAATCTTGTTATAACGAACTCATTTCCCACTTCAAAGGTATGCTTTAACTCCCTATTTTGTACATTTACAGTAAATTATTTGAGTTTCTTTTTCACATTTCACTAGCAGAAAGTCATGGTTGCTTGTCCACTTCTGAACTGTGGTTTTTGTCTCAGGACTTGAGACTGGATGCATATTGATTTTGCAGGTCTGGCTTTTTCTTTTTCAGCAGTATTCTTTAATGACTATAAACAGTATACACAGTGATCCCAGTGCAGTATAAAATGGGTTTACATTCGGCCTTAGGCAGTTTAGTTTGCCTTTGAGACTCGTCTTCACCGTGCTCTATTGATTAACATTGCCAGATTTTTTTTATATAATTTGGCTATGATTCTATGTATTTGTTTGGTTTTGTTTGTTTTATATAAAAACCGAACGAAAAGTATATTAGCAAGCTTCACAATATAACACGCACAAAAACGGGAACATTGCGGCTATGGAGCCTTTATCAGCACACATATAGATCAAGCATTACTAGACAAAATCACTTCGCTTAGCATCTCGAAGCAGCCAGGTCAGTGTCTTGTGAGACTGATGAGACACGTGGGACATGAGAATAAATACACCCAGCAGTAGAATGCTTCATTTATGTGGAAGGTGGCATTCAGGAATTCCAGACTTGTTCCCAGAACCACATATGGACAAGTCCTGCAAACACGTCTGTGACATGAGACCGTGCCGAAGTGGGACTCTGAAGCAGGCCTTAACCAACTCTTGACTAAACTGTCCTTGAGGTTACCCTCATGGTCGAAAGACTCTGTGGACGCAGTGTTTTTTTTTTTTTTTTTATTTTATGTATATATATTGTGAAGATCGCTAGTCTACTTTTCGTTCGATTTTGTATCTTTTCATGATTTTAGAGAAGTGGGATAGAGACTTATTCAACCTGCTGTTTCTAGCAATAGCTGTAAAATCCCTCAGTTGCATTTTAAGTTCTTGCTCGTTCTCTGTATCAGGTGTGTTCTACTTTTCATACACCATTTGCCACACTATTCGGCAGTGGGTTTTTCCACAGCCCTGACAAGTTTTCTTATTTGCATTCACTGGCTGTAAACACCAGCAGAAAACTGGCTGTTTGTCTGCCTCCGGACCCTAGTCGTGTTACAGAACCTGTGTGCTGCGTGCACCACCGTTATAGACATCTGACTTACTTATACAATATGCAGACAGTTGGTTCCTTGCCTCAGGCAGATGCACTCTGACTTCGAAGAAAGTCTCCAATTAGTCGACTTCATGATCATAATCATCATGTGCCCTGCTGACTGGCATGAGTGTTTATGCACCTTCACAGGTCTCAGACTGTTGTCTTCTTGATCATTTCCACCGATGATATCCATCCGTCATAATCTCTGTCTGCCAGTCTCTTTTCTACTGTTAATCTTCCCAGTCATCGCAGTATTCTCCAAAGCGTTCCCCTCTTCATCACATGACCAAAGAACAGTGCTTGTCTTTTCCTTACAACTGTATATTAGCTTCTTTCAGGCCTTCCTCTTGCAGTGTAAGGGATACATAACATTTAGCTGAGGAACACATCTCTGTCGCCTCAAAGTTCTTTCTAATTTGAGCATTCAGATTCCATGATCCATTATTATACAGCAATATAGGTTCTACATAACATTTAAGTACCCTCTTTCAGATATCTAAAGGGAGGGACCTATTGCACAAGACCTCCTGTGAAATGCAGCCTTAGCCTCACTTGTTCGTTTTTCCCCACACGAGGAGCTGCTTACTACTGACTACTTCTCTTCCTCTCTGCCTTTTATTGTATCGTGTTTAGGCTCCCCCCCCCCCCCCGCCCCCATTTCTCCACGGCCTTGTTAAGTTTTTTCATCGACCAATTTAAGCCAGACGCGTAACACTAGGCCCTTTCTATATCGTGTTCTACAGATTGAAGAGCTAGTATCACGTCAACATTGTATCTTTTTTTTATGTCGTTAGACTGAGTGACGTAAATACGTTGAGTCCGTTTATAGTATAACTATATTTAAAGCTTTTAGCCGACACATCCTACTTTTAGCCATTGCCACCCCATAATGGGGCTGCATGGTCTCGAGGCATGGCGTCTGCCTTGAGTGCTACTGTGGTCCCGGTCTTCTTCGATCCTTCTGTCAGAAAACATATCAGGAGGCCGGTAGTCTTTATGAAAGATATCATGCAGTCAATATCCTCTTGTGTACCATACAGATTTGTCTTCATTGTGGTCGGAACAGGCAGATTGCGTCTTTGTTGTCAGTATACAGTTGACAGTGTTGAAGCACATGCTCAGCATTTTCGGGACCACGCCGCAATGATACGTCCCCGTGTTTCCTAAACCGAAAAATGTGAACAAATGTTGGCGAAGTTTGTTGTGCTCAGTCCTTAGTCTAAATATAATGCAATGTCCCTCTCTAGAGAGGCGATGAAGCGAGTCTTGGGGAGAAAATCTGGTGTGTGTATCCAGGCACCTTTCTTGGATACTAGATTGTATTAATGTTTTCGTCTCTTGGTGGGTGAAATCACTATTTGGTTGTTCCATGTCACTGCCGCTTCTGGCCAGTCTGTCCGCTATTTCATTGCCTTCCAAGCCACAGTGACCTGGAATCCACTGCAGTACAGATTATAAATGAAGGCTGGAATTTTTCACGTGGACTTCTGCTAATTTTCCCTGGTCGTTGGGTAGTTAAATCGGACACCCAATATGTGTATTCTTGTGCACACAAAAAATAAAAATCCCTGGGCAGTTGGAAATTGAAAAGAGTAGCCTAACCTAGTGTAGCCCGGACACAAATTTTGGATTAAAAATCTACGTATTTCAGGATCCTTGTCGGTGCTACGGAGTTCGTGCATGCGCTGAGAACCTTTCGACCCAGTCTTGAGTCAGAAGTAGAACGGAGCACTTATGGGTTACTACCCTTGTGCCATGATGTTTATCCGCTGTTTAAACTTACACCAACCTAAAGAGCATTTGGAGTCGCGTAGCGGCTATACGGTTGCATACCGGTCCGAAGATCTAGGGTTCAAATCCACGTCTCAAGACGGATTTAAAAAAATACCTTCGCTCCCATGTCGACCCAGCCTAAAATATTTATTAGTAGGGTTGTTTGTCCCATAGAGAAAGAAAAAATATGTCGATATTAATCACGAAGTGTCTAAAAAGGTGCCGGTAATAACTATTGCTGTACCGCTGAAAGAATAATACCTGTGAAAGGTACTCGTGCTTCATACCATTGCTTGCCTGTAGAAAAAGAACCAAAAAAAAAAAAAAAGATTTAGGTATCCAATAATCAGACGAACGCTAGGAATAAAGCCAGTCTTTCAGGTCATCACAGAACAACGAATGAAGTGGTTTGGACATCTAACAAGAATGCCCTGGTACTATCTGTCACACTGAAACGTTACATCAACGTACGTTTTATCTCCCCCTGACACTTCCCTGAGGTACATACAAGGTGGAAGAGAAGAAGAAGATGCACCAAAGGCATGAACGGAGTCATTTACTTCCAAATATTTCTTTCCGCGCCCCTTGAGGCGCAAACTACCCCTTCGTTGTCCTCTTCCTTCGCGTTCACCGGCTCTAAACTCCGACGGAAAGTTTTGGTTGTTCAGCCATATCCGGACTTTAGATTTGTTCCACAATATGAGTATTGTGTGCACATCCGTTAAACAGATCTGTATGCAGATTTATGGTTTCTTGCCTTTTAGGCAGATGCACTCCGATTTCGAAGGAAACCCCCAATTAGTCGACTCTTAAAACATCTTTGTTAGGTAGGCAGTGGGTCTATTCTTTTTTTTTTTTTTTCATAAGGAGGCCCCAGAACCCCTTTGTTGAGCTATGGATGATAAGCGGCAGGTTTGCATTTGAAGAAGTACAGTCGCTTTGGCTTTGGGGTTTTCCCCCAAAAAGGTTACAGTTAAGCGGATCGACTTCACTGTAACAGGTTTTATCCTATATGGTGTCTGTCTCCGCATAATGGCTATCCGTCTCCGAGAGCATCACACAAAGCGCTAGCATCGTAGCTCTAGTGACGATCCATGACGATCGGTTTGTTTGTTTGTTTTAGTATCCAGAAGCCATGAGTTGTTAACCCCTAGTCTCGGTATTATGGATATCGCAACCCCTAGGCCTTCATTCCATGATAAATACCGTAAATTTGGGAGAAAATGTGGCTTTTCTGCCTACCCCCGGGATTGAACCCGGACCACAAGGAGTTCGTCACCCGGTCTCCGCGCAATCCGGTTTAGCCAATTACGCTAGAGAGCCGGGCTGACGATCGGTAAAAGTTGCAGTCGTTAACCGAATGACCCAACCGCGAAACGAACCGACGACCTTTACAGCGCAACCATTGAAGATGGCCGGCCCATGGATCACGCATACATTGTCATTGCGTTAGAGAGATAAACGTTCTAAGGATTTTGGAAGCAACTGTCCACATCACTGCTAGGAATACAAGAATTGGGAGTAAAGATCGGCACAGCCAAGCATGAGAAGCACACCGGGCGCATACGAAGTCTTGTTAGCCAACATAGGACTGGGACTATTAACCGCGTGACGCTGATGAATATGTTGAGAGGGGAATCTGGGCGCTTATGGATGTGTTTGGAGTGGTGTGAAGATAATCTAACTCATAACCTTTGCCAGTCAAGCATCTTGACCCTGGTTTGTTTCATTGGCATGTAGCTCTGTGGTATCCTTCATGTGTGCCAGCTCAGTGGCTCAGTCTTGTCGGAAGGCTATACCCACAACACCTGGTAGGCTGCTGCGCAAGACAAGACTATATGGCGGACGTCTGTCCGAAGAGACACAGAGACTTACGAGCCATTTAGAAAAAGGGCAGCTGAGCAGCGAAGACAAGCTAGACCAGTGGTTCTCAACCTTCCTAGTGCCGCGACCCCTTAATACAGCGTCGCACAAAACACGAACTCATGGATCTCCGTCAAAACTGCACGTGAAATGAACAGTGCAGTAGTGACACGAACCCACGACCTTCAAAGTGCGAAGCAAGGGGCTTGACCACTTCGCCATAGAAATCCTCTAACCAGTTCTGTCTTCGGATGTATGTCCTGGGAAAGTAAAGGCGACCGGCGCAATGCTGACCACATTACCCACATGCCGATTGATCTGTAAAAATATGGGTGCTTTTTCTATTTGCCCGATGCGCCTAAGGGTGTGAAAAGGGATCTTTAATTTACTTTACTTTTACTGCTGTCTTCACTTCTTTCAATTCCCTCGTCGCATCTAGCATTGGGCCGGGAGTGCAGAGAGTGGCCAGCGGGTGCTACGGAGGTGGAAGTCCAACAGTTCTTCTTCAGCATTCCGAGCCCTTGAGGTTCATTGCTGCAGATATCACCCGCCTCCTTTCATATCTATGGTTGGCCTTCTCTTTCCAGTCCAACGGTTGATTCACGACAATTCACGTCCAGCAGATTGGCAAACTTCAGTGGGAAGGTCACGGGTAGTGAGCATACTTTGGATCTTTTCTTCAGGCTATACTGGCGTAGTGGGTAATAAACAGGCAGACATACTGGCTGGATTTTCACCACAGGGTGGTGAATTGATACACGACAAGGCAGATGTGGCCAAGGTTCTTTGGGAATAAGCAACGGAATTAGTAGAGAAAGAAGATTATTATAGCCTGGAGAGAATGAGGCACCTGGGTGTAACCAGAGAGTCTGGCTGGCTCACTACACTCAGAGAAAAGGCAAGACATACATATAACCAGATTGTGACTGGTACCATCAGTACTGGAACTCTGGAATGCCCCGAGTGCTGTGATGTCAATTCTTGACTCAACTCGACTCTTGGCATCTAAAGTTGCCGAGCTCTTCTGTCTTAGAAATTAAGATACCAGTAGCTCTGTTATAGAAAAACATTAACCGGATTTACAACTGTTTAGAGTGTGTCTGCATGCTTGCGTGTGGTTGGAGCTGTTTGTGATTCAGTTTTCATTTTGTGATCAGTTAGTGAATTACAAAAATGCAGAGTATTCATTCCGCTTGGAAGTTACTTGGACCTATAAATGAGATTTGTAAGCATAACAGACAGTGTGCTTCAAAGTTACAGAGATTTCTCTCTAAGCAGGCAAGTGCAAGTGTCAAATGAAAACAGAAATTGAAATTAAAAAAAATTAAAAACCTGTTTTTAGTTTGAGTTTTGTTTATTTTTTTTTTAAATTTTACTAATACTTCTTTGTTGTAAACCATGTCATTAAGATTACTCGTATAGTATCAGGTATCAGGTCATGTAAAAAAGAAGCTAGCTTCTTGACCGCCGTTAAGAATTAGAATCTTCGTCTCTGTGTACTGTGTTTACCCCACCATGATACCTCGTGGGTATTTTTTCATACTCAACCTGTCGTCGTCTTCAGACTTCAGCGTTGTTCTCAGTTCTGTGACAGTACTGATGAGTATTGTACTGTATGTTTGCTACATTTTGATTTTTCTGTACTGTGTAACTAACGCAGTGTAACTTACATTAGAATAGTTGAATAGTGTCTCTCACCATCGGTCTGTTTGTTGAATATACTTACTACTTGCCAGTGTATGAACTGTATGTATGTTTCTTCTACATCATCTGTTTATAACTTTATAGCTCCCAGGTCTGGGCCTTGGCACCAGGTCATTGATCAGATAGCCAAATCATTTTATCTGTTGCTCTTTTTTTTTTATTTTAAATGAGTGAATTATCTTACTGGTTTCAAACTCAGACAGTCTTTTAATTTTTTCATTTTAATGTGACCTGGCACCATTGGCAGCTGTTACTGTTGTTACAACCCCTCTGTGTTGGTTGTGATTTTCATGATTTTGTGTTGTGCTCCTTAATTGTAGTTGTAAGTAAGGGTTCATGTTTGAATTTTTTGACACTGGTAGCATCATAGGCATGTAAATAATAGAAGCCACTTGACTCTAGAGACCTCTTAGCATTCAGTTCAGTGTTGATGATTCACATCACACACATTTGGTTCTGACAGATAACATCCACAAAAGATATAGTTGTTGATGTTGTGTTGTTATTTGCGTTCCCCGACTGTAAACCCCGGTAGAAAGACATGGTTGTTTGTCTAGGACCTGAGTTTTGTTCCTGCATTCATTTTACAGATCTGGCTTATTTGTAGGCAGACTACTGGTTCCTGGCCTCTTAGGTAGATGCACTCCCACTTTAAAAGAAGCCCCCCCTTCCCCCAATTAGTCTACTCTCACGACATGCCTGTTGGGCAGACCATGGGTCTGGTCTTGTTTTCCCCACAATGTGACTATGGAACCCTCATATATAGAAAGATGTAGTGTTTATAACATAATGTTATAAGAAGAAAAGCATTAGCTGGAGAGCATAATAATTTCAAGAAAGATCAGCATTATGAGAGACAGACCAAGACAAATAATACCAGATAGTCTAAGATGATGGCACAGAGAAATGAAGATTACTAGGAAACCTGTTACAAAGCTACATCACACATCTACTTGGACACTTCCACATTGCTGCTTGCACTGCTTTTACTGTCTAGGATTAACAACACAAAACGGCTCTCTGTTTCCTACTATACATTTTATCAGTTTATTCAAACAATTATTCAGACAAAGTCACTTTTCGCTTCCACAGTATGACAACACTAGACATTCATTCCACATTGAAACTACAAATACAACTGTCTTCTTCTTCTTCGTGTTCACCGTCTGTAAACTCCAGTGGAAAGTTCTGGTTGTTCTTCCACTTCTGGACTGCAGTCCTCCTATTCCAGAACTTGAGTGTTGTGTGTGCATCCGTTTGACAGATCTGACTAATTTGTATGCAGACTATTGATTCCTTGCTTTTCAGGCAGATGCACTCTGACTTTAAAGGAAGCTCCCAATTAGTCGACTCTTACGACAGGCTTTTGGGGAGGCAGTGGGTCTATTCTTGTTTTCCCTATAATAGGGCTCCAAAACCCACATGGGGATCAAATACAACTATCTTCTTCAACTTCTGGTACGCAACTGACCATGAGCCAACCTTGGGCTTTGCCTCGTTCATATGTCCAGCTCAATGCATTTTCTCTGGCATAGGTTTTTTACCCTGCTTGCGTTAAGTGTGGACCACCATGCAAAGCACGTCGTCACAACAGCTATGCCATCTAATAAGGCATATGCTATTTGATAATAACAACATGGAGAAGATTCCAAAGAAGCAGATATTAATAATGGATGGATATGAAGTGATCTGTATAACAGATGAGTTGACTTGGCATGAGTTACTTGAGGGCATATGCTCCAGGTGGTGTTAAAGGCCTAACAACATCATGAAAAAATATGACAGAGGGGTGCACTCGTGATCACCAGTGACATGCTCCAGACACTTCCCCATTTATACACAGAGAAAAAAAAAAGGACATAACGTTTCTTCAACTCTTTCAGTACCAGGAGGCTTAACATGAGATGCCAGAGTGAAGAAAGAACCATGATGAAAAAGCATGAATGCATTATTTTTCATGTAGCAATAGGTGCAGTGATATTTACATAGGAGAAGTCCGATTTCTTTGGTTTGTTCTGACTAAATGTTAAACTGAAGAGAGCACATTTTGCCGTGGAGCCAAATCAAGGGATGGTGTCACTCACGTACTGTGCTTTGTTTGGGACTAAAGAAGTTGAAGATACATTTTATTAGTAAACATTACATTTCTTCTTTCGTTCGCTTAAAATAAATTATCTGCAATGCTGTCTCTAGTATGCTGGTAGAGAAGTCTGGTGATGTATCTGGCAGACCTCTACATGCCAAGGTAGAAGAGGGTTGACTAAGTAAAGTAAAGAGTGCGATGTGTAATTCTGAAATTTGCATTTAAACTTAGCTGCAGGCAGTATGACATCATACTGCTTTGTATTGATTTTAACACTGTGCCGACTGTTCAGAGGCAATGGCAAACTACTGAATGTAAAAATTGCCTAGTAAAAACCAGAAACAGCTAAGAAATAATGGGGTTGATTTGTGACATTTAAATGGATGTAACTTTTAATTTAAACTTCCAGCTGTTAACAATCATTTATGACTTTATTTACAGATCTGGACTAAAAGTGAACGCGAGGAAGTCCTCAATGCCTTGTCAGATCTGTTCCTGTTGGGTGGTGATTGTGTTGTGGATCTGTGTATATGGTTTGGGCCCCTCATACTGGAGATTGTGTCCCGACTGACACAGTCAGTATTGCGTGAGGGACACTCGGGGCAGTGGCTGTTGAAAAAGATGGCTGTTGTGATGTGCAAGGGGTTTCCCATCAGTTCTGTACTTCAGAGGTTAGTTAATTATAATTATTGATTGCTTTGTATGTGATTACACAGCGATTCTTAACATATGGGTCATGACCCCTTTGAGGGTCGAATGACCCTTTCACAGGGGTTGTCTAAGACCATCAGAAAACATATATTCACTGAAGTTATGAAGTAGCAACGAAAATAATTTTATGGTTGGGGGTCACCAAAAACATGAGAAATTGTTAAAGGGTCGCGGCATTAGGAAGGCTGAGAACCACTGGGTTAACATCTGAACTTTATGGGACACATTAAATGTTCTGGAGACTACATATGAACGAATGCTGTTGGAAGATGTGCTGTACTGTGTTGGATGAAACCAGCATATGTAAGGTTGCATGCGTTTGGAGTTGGTTGCAAGGAAGGATGTATAAGAGAAACATTCTGTTGTGTGTACAACCAGCATGTTACTGGAACAGTTGGCATCTACACCTTGAGCGATTCAATGTAGAACATGTGGGATCCATGGGTATGATTCTGAAAACAGAAAGGCATTGACAGCACTAAAATGAACACAGGTGAGGGAAAAAATAAAAGAGCTTAATCGCATTAATGTACCCTTTTCCACGCTTTTGGGCATATAGGGCTAGACCTGTCGGCACTTGGTGGGTGATGTGGTCAGCATCATCTGGCTCGACTACGCTATCAGTATTCGTCTGCGGGTGGGTTATTAGCGGCCCGGGAGCACATCATTGTTGAAGAGCCAGTCATACCAGCCAGTTTTTTTAACGATTGCTAGAGAACTAAGGAGAAAGCACGCTTGGGTGTCCTTTTCAGGATACTCTAACAAGCCTTGCCGACTCCGAAGGGACCTAGCAATCAAACAGCAGCCCGATCAGAACAGCCTTTGCCAGCCACATCCACTATGGCCCGTGGCAAGAATAACCTAACTCAGCGCCGTGACACCAGAGCTACATCGGCTAACAAGGAGACTGCACCTGACGTCGCACCAGCCCCTATGGTGCAGACAATGCCAGCTTTGACTGACGTCCCTATCGAGACGTCAGCCACACCTACCCAGACGCCGCCAACTTCCGATGAGGCCCCTGTCGAGGCAGCATCACAACCAGAAGTCGCCCCTGTCGTGGCGCAGGAGCCCACCTACACCCGACCACACAGGCAGCAACCGGGAGCCGCCAGTCCAGAAATCCTACAGTGTTTGCGCTGTAACAAGGCGTGGCACACAGCCGCTAATTGCCACAGCAACCTTGCTTGCAGATACTGCTCCCAGGCGCATGATTTCAAGGAGTGCCCGCTAGCCAAGAAGGACCCGGACTTCAAGAAGCCCAACCCGAGCAGACGATGCTCAAACTGTGGAGGGGCCCACAGCGCGAGGTACCTGAGATGAATAATGCCGGACCTAGACACCAGCAGAGATACGAGGCACCCAGGCCAAGCTACACATCAAGCCAGTCCACCCGCACAGAGAGGAAGGAGGTCACCACCAGAGACCCTGAGCTAGTGCGCGCCATCACCGAGCTTAAAGCTGAACTACGGAAAGAGAGAGAAGCCGCCGCCGCTGAGAAAGCAGAAACCCACGAGCTGATCACCCTTATGCTGAGGGATATCAAAGTACTGAAGGAGGTCAGCTCAGCTCAAGAAGCCCAACAAATAAAGAACAACAAGCGCGATGCAGGAATCAAAGACAGCATCCACGCACTTACCGAAAGTCTAAAAGTAGCCCAGATGGAAGCAGAAAAGCACCGACAGGATGAAAGGCAGGAAAGAAAGAAGGAGATGGCGGAACTCAAGGAGGCCAGAGAAAGCACATACCTAGAAGTCACGCGATTAACCCAGCAGAAGTCAGAGAAAGAAGCGGCGGTGCTAGAGCTCAAGAAACTAATGGCCTTGCAGGACGAAAAAACAGCTGCATTTAACAAACTCCAAGACGAAATCAAAGAGGCACGCGAAATCATCCAGGAGCTCAACCAAGTTCAGGAAAAACTCTCCTGCGAAACAGAGAAGATCGATAAAATTGTGGCCTCAGCAAACCAAAAACCTGTATACGCAGATGAATATTACCAAGAAGCAGACCCAACAGAGTCCGACGAGGAGAACGTAGAAGTGCAGCCCGCCGAATTAGAACAAACCACGGACCGAAGCAGCGATACGGAAACGATCCTAGCCGCAGATGAGGCCACAGCCCATCCTGAAACAAAAGAAACAATAATCCCCGAGGACATAAGCGAAGCCGGCCTAAGTGAAATTGTGCAAGTTTTCAACATACAAGAAGATCTCCCGCACAAGATCGTATTCAAAAAAGGCAACTACTATATCAACTATGACCAGGAAATATTTGCTAGTGGCAGTCTCGCATTCGACGAAGTAAGCAAAGCCTACATACCAAAACTGAACAGGTTCTTCCAACAGGTGGGAGATGCCTATGAACGAATAAAAGAAACAAAAAGGAGACAATGGATGCAGGGAACACCGAACAGGCGCCAAAAGTATTAAGCCAGAGTGAGCATTTCCATGACCAGGTGGAAGCAGCCCAAAAACAGCTGGCCCAACAGACAAATTAGTCTCCCGCACTAACCCATCCAGAAGCCAGTAGAACCCAGCAGCTGACAACACCAAACCCAGCCGGACCAGACCGCCATCTTTGAGGAATAAGCCAAGCCCACCGACGCGAAGAAACACAGCGAGCCAGCCCAAACCGAACCTCAGCAGCCCCGCCCATTTTCCCACACTGACACGAGGCAAACCAGACAGACCAGCCAGACATGTTTAAACACCAATCGGAAGCCAAGCCAAGCCACTCCCTCTCATTCTCGATCGAGGCCGTCCCAGGCAAATCATACTAGTCCTTCTCAGGACTAGTAGAACATCTAATCTCAACCCAAACCAATGCAGCAAGGAACCAAAATTAGGTGAAAATATTCACCACAAGGAACCAAGAATCTAGAATCAAACCACAAAGAAACCGACTTCAATATAGCAAGCCAGCAGGCAGCTGAACGAGGTCAAAATTCGACATTTTTGTTTCTATATCCAGTTTCCAGTTAAAGACCTGTCCACACCTCAACGTGATCCTTGTAGAAACCGACTCACTAGCGGGAGCCATACCAGTGGGAGATAGGATCAGTGATTCCTTGGAATTCAGAGAGGTGAGAAACCACCAGTCTGTACACAGTTAGTCACATCTGGAAAACAGATGTGCACACAAACTCTCATTCTTAGAACAAGACTGAAGTCCAGACACAGAACACCAGCCAGAATTTTCTGTTGGAGTTTGCATAAGAAGATATCCTGATACAATGCCAGCCTATACAATGTTTGCTTTAACTAATCACTGTCTCTTCCTCAGATTTGCCTTGGATTTTGTTCAGCTGTATAAACCTTTCACATTAAAGGATGCTTCAAATGGCGATGAACCCCCTAGGAAAAAGGCCAAGAAAAAGCAGGCAAGTAGATAGTTTGTACTTGTTTGCAAGAATCTTTGACCAATTAAATTATTAAATATGTCTGTCTGCATTCCCTTCTGGTGCCTGCCATTTCTTCTTCTGCCTTTCTATCCCCCAGTGGAGCATAGGCCCTCAACCAACTCACGCCAAATTGTTCTATTCTTCGCTATTGCATAGAACTCTCCCCATGTCCTCCCCATCTTTCTAACTTCATTCTCCAGCTCTCTTCTCCATGTGTTTTTCGGCCTTCCTTTATTCATAGTCACCTGTGGGTTCCAATGCAAAAACATTTTAGTTATGCTGTTCTCCTGTTTTCTCAATGTGTGTCCTATCTAATGCCAGTGTCTTTTCCTCACCTCTTGTTTCACTGGAGCCTGTTTAGTTCTCTCCCAAAGTTCTACATTAGCTATTCTATCATACCATTTAATTCCCTCTATTCTGCACAGGCACCAGTTAATAAATGTCTGTAATTTATTAGTAATTGCCTAAATTGTTCTCCATGTTTCCGCCCCTTACAGAAGTTTAGAGTTCATTGTTACAGATATCACCTAACTCCATTCATCCGTGTGATTTACTTGCTCTTTCTAAATCTGTTTTTAGGTCTGTCTGTTATAAATGCAGTCTTGTAATTCTGACATATCTGATTTAATCCATCTACAGGAGACTCAGCAGCTGGTCACTTATTGATTTCAACAGTGATATATGTGCCAAATCATTTAGAAAGCAGTCACTATCTACTGAATGTAAAACTTGCTTAATAAAACAACAGACAGTCAACAAATGCTGCGTTGATTTGCGGTGTCCTGTAGGGGTTTGAACTTTTTGTGTGGAAATTGTTGTTAGGGTGTGTTAGGCAGTTAGTAGGACAGAGCATAGTTTATAGGATCATATAATTTTTCCCTGTTTGGCATCTCGGGCTCCTTGTGTGGGGGGGAGGGGAGGGGGGGGGGGGAAAGAGAATAGACACTTTGCCCCTAACAAGCATGTTTGCTGAAATTGGAAAGGCGCACATATTGTGGCAAGCTGTAAACCACAACACAACATGCCTGCTGCCCTTCAAAGGTTTAACGTAGAGAAAGAAAATTGTGAGATTCTGAAATTCTTGTTTGTTCAGTGTCTTGCTAACTCCCTGATATTGTAGACCAGTGGTTTTCAACCTTCTTAATGCAGGGACTCTGTAATACAGTTCCTTATGTTGTGGCGAGGTAAGGAACCAACAGTGCATGCAAATTAGCATGATCTGTAAAAGGGACGCACGCGCAAAACTCAGGTCCTGGAACTAAGCCAGTCTGGAAATTGAGGAACAAGCAGGTCTTTTCTTAGAGTTTACAGCAGGTGAATGCAAACAACATACAGCAATAACCCTGGTAAAAGAGAATAGACACTTTGCCCCTAACAAGCATGTTTGCTGAAATTGGAAAGGCGCACATATTGTGGCCTAGCTGTAAACCACAACACAACATGCCTGCTGCCCTTCAAAGGTTGAACGTAGAGAAAGAAAATTGTGAGATTCTGAAATTCTTGTTTGTTCAGTGTCTTGCTAACTCCCTGATCTTGTAGACAAGTGGTTTTCAACCTTCTTAATGCAGGGACTCTGTAATACAGTTCCTCATGTTGTGGCGACCTCCAACCATACTTCATACTTGCTACTTCATAACTTCAGTGAATATGTTTTCCCATTGTCTTTGGCGACCCTTGTGAAAGGATCATTCAACCTACATAAGGGTCAGGACCCACAGGTTGAGAACCGCTGTTGTGGACCATATATACATTGATATTATTTTGAAAAATGCTAGATAAAAAATCAGAATCATGAGAATTTTCATGAAATGGACCCATAGTTTAATAGAGTTTGTGTTTCTGTAGATTTCAGATTTGGACTGGTGCCATGCCATGTGGAGCTACATGGTGTATCTCCCAGAGACAGCAGACAAACTGGACATGACACATCTAGCAGATTACTTGTCCAGCACTGATGGTCTTGTTAGATGGTAAATTGAAATTGTTCATAAGGCCTGATATCAACCCCTGTTCTCCGTGTTTGTTCCGCGGCTCTATTGATGGAAAAACAAGAATAGACCCACTGCCTCTCCAAAAAGCGTGTCGTAAGAGGGGACTTGTTGGGGGCCTCCTTAGAAGTCAGAATGCCTCTGCCTGAGAGGTAAGGAACCAATAGTGCATGCAAATTAGCATGATCTGTAAAAGGGACGCACGCGCAAAACTCAGGTCCTGGAACTAAGCCAGTCTGGAAATGGAGGAACAAGCAGGTCTTTTCTTAGAGTTTACAGCAGGTGAATGCAAACAACATACAGCAATAACCCTGGTAAAAAGAAACACAGTATTTTCAAATCATCTTCATGTTCCCACCAGTAAACTCCGGCGCAAAGCCCTGGCTGTTCATCGACTACTAGACTTTGGTCTTGTTTTAGGACTTGTGACATGCACATCTGTTTTACAGACCTCACTGATTTGTGTGCATGTTGTTTGCTTCTTGCCTCTCAGGCGGAGGCACTTTGACTTTAAAGAAAGCAGTTTCAAATGAGATATCTGCATTTGTGTACGATCATAATTGACAGGGTCATCCCCAGAGTCAGCTATGATCCGGAAAGAACCCACCCTGTAATGATTTGAACTCATTCTAAAATGAAGACTAAATCTAGATCTTCATTTGAAGTGAGTGGGGATTGAACTCATACCTCTGTTGTAAGGGAAGATTTAACCTAGACCTCTTTATGAAGTGAAGAGTGAGCCTAGACCTCTGAAATGAAAAGTGAACTGTTTCCCATGTCTAAAGTATAGATTTAACCTAGACGTTCATACTAATCGAAGATTAAAATAAAATCATCTATCTGAAATGAAGATTAAAGCCAGACCTATATCTTAAGTGAAGATTGAACTCAGACTTCTTAAGTGAAGATTTTCAAAGCTCTCCTTACGTGGGCAATTTGTTTGTTTGTTTTGGTCCTCAGTATTCTAAGCATTGTTATCTATTTAAAAAAAGTGTAGATATGTTTTTGTCCTTGCCAGTGACTTATCAGTCATTTCTGCATTTTTTCAATGGAACTTATGCAGGACTTTGAAAAAAAGAAAAAAATGTGCTGATACTCACACAAAGTGTCTGTTATGATAGAGCTGGAAAAAAGTGATGCCTAAACATAAAGGTGCAGGTACTGCATACCGCCAAACAAACAAAGCTCTTAGCATGTCTCACAACCAGCTTGTGCTAGGCTCTTTGCAGACACCCTTTATTGGATGGATTTTGCAGCTAAAATATTCTTGAAGCCGCCATCTGCACCCTGAACTCTGTATGCAAAATGATATGATTCTGAAACTGAGGCTGCCCTGGTAAAACAGGAAGTTATGTTTGATTGTTGTTAAATTTGTACTTCATTTATATAGGATCCACTTAGTTGCTTCATTTATGTAATTGTTACTGTTAAATTCACCTGACGAGATAGAGCGAAATATGCCAGGCAATAAACTACAATCTGTTTGTATCTTCTTTGTTCAAGAGCGAAATATGCCAGGCGATAAACTACAATCTGTTTGTATCTTCTTTGTTCAAACTAAAATATTCTTTGGTATGAGATGCCAACAACCGAAAATTATTGAGTTTCACTGATTATCTTTGCTGCTACTTCAAACAGCCCAAGAGATTCACTAATTATCTTTCTTCTTTTAACTTTCTTTTGGCATGGACATTTTATTTCCCCAGTTAATTCAAACGGATCCTTTAACTGTTCATGTTTAAAAAAAAATTTTAAATGATAAACTTTACATGTTTTTTTAAAACTGTTGGTCTATTTCTTGTTGTTTTTCTCAAATCAGGTATGCATCCTGTACATTGAGTAAATACTATGCTATGTCAGAATCAGAAACAGCAACATTCCTGAAGAAGTATTTTACACCAGAAGAACAAAGGATGTTCAGTATACGGTTCGTATCAATACTTTCATCAAATTATATTCTCTTTTTTTTCTGTGTGATAGTCAGTAAAGTAAGAAAGATTTTGAACAACAGATCAGCATGATGGCACACGGGTGGAACCCATAAATTAGGCAACTCTTTTTTATTTCCAACTGCCAAGGGATTTTTTTTACATGCTCAACAATGCACATGGGCGTCCGATTGCACTACCCAGAGACCAGGGGGAATTACTAGAAGTCCACGTGAAAAAATCCCAGCCCTTACCGGGGATTGAACCCGCAACCTCTAGCACTCAAGACCATGCAGCAGTAAAGTAAGAAAAGGACACTCTTCCACACCTCCAGGAATTTTGGGTATGTAGGGCTAGACCAAGTGGCCCTCTTTAGGTGGTTTTGTTTTTACTTCCCAGGACTGTACCTAGTGTCCATTTAAGACTGGGCCGGCCTGGAAAAAGTCTGGCTCTGTCAGGACCTAATCTCATGACCTTCCGATCCACAGTGGGGCATCTAGCTACTATACCACGGCTGAGTTCTGGGATCAATCCTAGCTGCAGGTGATTTTCCAGCAGACAGCCTTGCATTGGTTTTTGACAGTGGTATTGAGAGTCCGCCGCTCAGAAAGCAGTTGCCAACTACTGAAAGTAAATTTGCCAGGAAAAACCGCAACAGCCAAGCAGGGCTGGTGTTCTGTGAAGGGCACACAGCTACTTATATTTTATAATTGGGCTACATGACGGCAGTCAGCCCTATTGTTAACTCTGAAGATGACGTCAAGCGCAGAGCACATGCTCTGTAGCTCCGGCTACAATTCTTATTAAATGAAAAATCCATATATCAAAGTTGTTTTGGAGCAGGAAGTAACCGGTTACCCTAGAGGAGCTTGCCTGTTAGGGAAGAGGCATGGGAAGTCCTTATGGAGTCCATACGCCTGGCGAACACATAAATAAAACAAGTAAATTTCATACTAGCGACCAAACTGACCCTGCAGTACGATCTTAAGGATACAAATACGTTTATAGTTCGTGATGTGGTGATTTCGGTTACAAAATTGAGGCGAAATTAAGGCTGATCTTAGTTGCTTTTTAAAATCGTTTGTTGTTTTAATTCATTATTCACTTGAAACTTGTCAGCAGTCGCCTCCTATTTTCAGTACCTATTTTTGCATTGGGTGCTTTATTAATATCCTACCCCAGACAGGGAAAATCCACAGGTTGCAGGAAAGTCTGATATTTCAGGGGGTGGTAGATAGGCTGCATGCAGTCGTGGGACCTAGGCTGCACTCTCTCGTGGGACGTAGGTAGGTTGGGGTTAAGGCCAGTTCTAGATGTTTTGGGGTCGTTAAAAGCATCAGAAAGGTGGGAAACCCAGTCTTACCACCCTCTAAAATGTTGGACTGTCCTGTGACGTCCACTGGGGTAGGATATTAATAAAGCACCTTGCATTGTGTTTGAGGTGGTAAGATAATTCACTGATATCTTGTTACTAACAATTGCTCTTCTCCTTAACAGTGTTGACAAAGAGGTGCTTGCTGTACAAGAAAGACTGCACAAAGCTCAAGGGATTATAGAAGTAGAGAGTGTTGATGCTATCCTGTCTCACACACTGCAGACCCTTACATCTGCTGACCTGACCTCACAGGTGGTCAGTGTCATGGGCATCTTGTTGCCTAAACTTGTGCAGGCATCAAAATCTGATTCTCAGGTACGGTGATTAGCATTGACGACCTGTCTTTGCTTGTATTTAAAATATGCTGTCTCCATGAATCAATATCTTATTCTCAGGGTTACAGTACATACAGCAAATACCCCTTCCCCTTCCTCAATGTACAGGGGAAAAAGCAGACAGAAACAAAATAGTGTGGACAGTACACTGCAAAATCTTTATCATGTGTCCAGAGTCAAGATAAAGATTGTTCTTCCAGGATTAGTTACCACACACTGAATAGATGTGTGCTAAAAGTGGCTGAGGCTGTATCAGTAAAACTCTACTCTCCTATGTTATGTAAACAGAATGATCACATTATCAATTTCAAATTAACATGGTAACTACATTACTGATTTTGAATTTCGGGCAGATAGAGGTACAGCAATTTGACATTTTGGTTTATACATTTCGACACAAAAAGGATTTTATTTTGTGCTTCAGTATATGTTGGTGTAACTCTGTAGTAATGCACCTGACGAGATACAGCGAAATATACCAGGCAATAAATTGTGCAAAGTATTGTTTGTGTGTTCACATTATTTTAACTTAAAACAGGAAAATATTGTTTTGAAAGACATTAAGTTGCCAGACAGGCATTGAAATGACAAACAAGTGGATTGAGGAAACCGAGACATCCAAGAGAAACACCAAGATGGATATTGAGAGAGGCTAATGGTGCTGGACTTGATTTCATCCATCATAGTCTTCTTCGCGCGTACTGGCTGTAAACCAGCAGAAAGATCTGAGTTTTTTTTTTCTTTCTTCTACTTCTGGACTTTAGTCTTGTTACCAAAGTTTTGTTGCTTGCACATCGGCTTTATAGATCTGACTTATTTGTGTGCAGACTGTTAGTTCCTTGCCTTAAAGGCAGATGCAGGCTTTCCTGAAATTCATGCGAGGATCCATGATATAAAAACCTGGCACAGGATCAAATTCAACGGAGGAATAGATTGTGAACTCTATGTGACATTTAGCAGCATTGCATAATGGTAATGATATATGTTTATTTGTGTTAGATTTGGTTTCATTACTGGGAGACAAGAATGTTAAGAATACCTTAAACTGGTAGAGTAACTAACGTGGATTGCTTTTAAGGAAGTTAATGAAAGCAGATCAATATATACAGCTATAAGGAAAAGACAAGCACTGTTCTTTGATCATATGAGGAGGATGGAGGCTTTGGAGAGTATTGTGATGACTGGGAAGATCAGTGATGGAAGAGGGAGAGGCAGACCAATAGAGGTGATGTATGGATTGCAGTGTTGGCAGAGAGGGATATCATCGGTGGAACTGTTCCAGAGGACAAGGTACCAAGATCTTTAAAGTTGCATGAATGCCTACGCCAGTCCGCAGGGCATGCGACGATGACGACTGGTAGACAAGATTTTGAGTAAGTAAAGTACCCTTTTGTACGCTTTCAGGCGTATAGGGCTAGACCTGGTTTTTTTAAATAAAAGTCGGCAAGATTTTAGGGGTATGAAATCAGAACACATATGTTCCCTTAATTTTATAATATTGTTGCTCATAATAGCATAATATGATTGTTTAACAGATCAACAGTCAGCTTGTATTAGTGCCGTCCACCCAGCAGCACCTTCGTAGTTTGGCCCTGGCAGTGTCCTGTTGCAGGCCTGTGTTGTTGCAAGGTCCTGTCGGCTGTGGGAAGACCTCACTTGTTGAGCACCTGGCAGTGCTAACTGGTCGACAGGGTTACCCTGATGTTCTCAAGATCCAGCTTGGAGATCAGACTGATAGCAAGGTCAGTTTAACATATTGTGTGGTTGTGCAATAATATGTTTCACTTAAGTATTTGTGTTGTAAATGTAGATATTTATTGTTTGAGACTTTGCTAACATGTGTTTTTTTTGGGTACAAGTTAGTCTCCCTATTTACACAGCGTTACACACTAGCTCACTTCTGAATGGTATACCTTGAGCCATGTGACCTTGGCACAAGGTTATGGGTTTTTCCTGTAATGCTGTTGATATTGTGTGTTGTAAATTTCATCATGCCAGCACTTTTAACACTCCAAAAATATGGACAAACTGGGTCTAACCCCCCCTTTCCTCCTAGAGAGAGCCTGATGTAAGGTTTTCTGTCAGAAGGATCGAAGAGGAAGAAGATTGTTTTTGAAGCAGACTAATTTGCAGTTGTTCAGTGAGCTCATAATTCACTTCACTGTCCGGTAAAGTGCAGCAGGGAAAGATGGAGGCCTGGGAGTCATGAGCTGGGTCGGCCCACCTTCCAAGACTGTATAGGAAAAACATGAGGCAGACAGCTTGGCCACATCGCTGCCGAGAACCCAGATCCGCAAAGACTTGTATGATAGGTTGGATGTTAGTGCTAAAATGTTCTGTTGAACGGGTATCAGGGATCCGCCTTTATGATCTGCTGTCCAGATTAAGGATTTAAAAATCTCAGATTGTATGGTAAGCCTTTAGGTAACAGCCAGGGAGACAGAAACCTATCAGTCAGCCAAAATCAAAACCACTATATAGGTGTATTGACCACTGCCAAAAGACATCCTGTTGTATACAATCCGCAAGAGTTGGAAAAACTGGCCTTTCTTGGAGCAGCAGGGTTAATAATGTTTTGATGCTGTGTTATCTGTTGCAGGCTTTGCTGGGCACATACTGCAGCACTGAGGTGCCTGGCGAGTTTGTTTGGAGAGCTGGTGTCCTAACACAGGCAGTGTCCAGAGGCAGCTGGGTCTTGCTGGAGGATGTGGACACGGCACCGATGGATGTGCTGTCTTTGTTGGTAGCTCTGGCTGAGACCAGGACGTTGATGGTTCCTGGCCATGGTGACGAGATTAGGGCAGCTCCTGGTTTTCAGTTGTTCACTACACAGAGGTAATTGAAGACCATTAATAGAGTGTAATTTTATTTTGTGCCCATCTTAGTCAGGGATCAGAAGTAGCTTTATTGTTTTGTTGACAGTTGTCTTTCTTTGTTCTTTTTTAAAAATTGTTGTGTTATCCCCTTGTGAGTTCTGTTGACCCATTTGAGAAAACAAGAATAGACCCACTGACTTCTCAACCGGCATGTCGTAGGAGGCGACTGATTTGGGGGCATCCTTCAGTATCGGAGTACTGAGAGGCAAGGAACAAAGAATCTGCATACAAATAAGTCAGATTTGTGAAACAGATGTGCACACAGCACTCAAGTTCTGGAACAGAACTAAGGTCTGGAGATGGACAAACACCCAGAACTTTCTGCCAGATTGTACACCCGGTGAAGATTTCTATATTACTTCTTAGACAGAATTTATAGTAAATTTGAAGTTACCCTGGTAAGTCACGTGGCTACCGTGAACTTCCAGCAACTTAACAGGGTGTCTCAGACGAAATTGTTAGCATTTCAGTTTGATTTATTCAGTTTTTTGTGTTTTTTTTATATTGATTTAACTCTGTAGTAACTCACCTCACAAGATACAGCAAAATATGCCTGGCAATAAATTGTGCAATGTAATGTTTGTGTCCTCATTTTTTTGAGCGGAAAGTGGTCGGCTGCCACATGACCTGGAGCCAAATTTCCAGGTGTATTTAGGAATTACAAACCATGTTCGTAATTCTTAAGCCACAGATGCCGACCCTGTTATTATAACAGTTTATAAATCAGATTTTACATCACTTACTGTCAATATTAATTAAATGGTATTTCTAGAACTCTTTTCAGATGTAGCTATCTCCATGTGGGTTCGTTCAGAGACACTATTGTGGGGGAAAATAAGAATATATCCACTGACTCAACAAGGATGGCGTAGGAGTCGACTGCTTTCATGCAGGCATCCTTCGAAGTCAGAGTGCATCTCTCCGAGAGGTAAACAACTAACAGTCAGCATATATAAAAAAAGCGAGGACCAAGAGTCTACTTACAAAAAACGCCAGGTCATTGAAACGGAAGTGCATGCAACGCTCGTGTTCTGGAAAATGACTAAAGCCCAGAGCTGCAGGGAAAGCCTGGAACTTTTCAACAGTGTTTACAGCTGGTGAACACATAGAAGAAAGTGAGGCTAAGGGTGCAGTCTGAAACTGGAGTTACTGGCTCCGGCATTGACCAGGAAAAGGAGAATTGCATGAGATCAGGGTTATACAGTATGCCTTGTGATCCAGAAGATGACATTTTTTGTACTGTTTGTCCTTCGTTTTGAACTATAATTTCTGCCCTCCACCCAGGCTGCTGAGTACTTCTGATGGCTGGCATCACCAGCGGGGAGGGAATTCTTTACTGCTGGAGAAGCTGTGTACAGTTATCAATGTGGAGCCTCTATCAAGGACTGAACTGAAACATGTAAGATACAGATAAAAACATGTACATTGTAATTAAATATGTAACCACTGCTGTGTAACTTTTCCCCAGCAGAATAGGCAGTCAGTAATTTGTTTCGGTTTTGGTATAAACAATGTATCAACATCATGGCAAAAGGGTGGTAACCCAAAGGTTCCCATTCTACTTCTGACTCAAGCCTGAGTCTAAAGAATCTCAACACATTGCACGTACTCCATAGCACCAGTGAGGATCTTAAATATTTTGGTTACATTTTTAACCGATAATTTTTCCTGGGCAGTGCTGTTTACTCTTTTCGATTTCCAACTGCCAAGGGATTTTTTTGTACATGCACAACAATACAAATGGGCGCCCGATTTTACTACTCAAAGACCAGGGGAAATTACTAGAAGTCCTCATGAAAAACATCCCAGCCTTCACCTGAAGGGACCTGAACCCTGGACCTCCGGCACTCGAGGCAGACGCAATGCTTCAAGACCACTCAGCTAACTGTCACTTGTATTCTGTGCATGCCCCCTCACCCCGTAACAGACATATCATAAAAGTCAACTAAATAGGGGAGTTTCCCTCTGAAGTTAAAGTGCATTTGCCAAACAGGCAAGACACCAGCCGACTCATACAGACAGGTCAGATGTGCACGTAGCTAAACTCAAGTTCTACCAAAGTTTACAACTAGTAAATGCAAACAACCAGCAGTACCTTGTGGTAACTGACTAAGTCACTGACTGGGTGATTCAGAAAGCAGCTTGTTGCCTCAGCAAGGGTTTTGTCCTTAGGGGGAGCAGAGAATAGTAACACTGGATGCTGTTATATTGGTGTTACCTGTGCCAGATAATAGATGAAGATGGGCACATGGGACATACATGACCTTGGGCAGGGAAAGTGTACAAGCTGGGAAAGCTTTTCTTTTTTGCGTTCACCGGCTGTAAACTTCGGTGGAGAGTTCTTGTAGTTGGTCCACTTCTAGACTTGTCCTGTTCCAGAACCTAACTGTTGTGTGCACATTTATTTTACAGATCTGATGTATTTGTGCATACTGTTGGTTCCTCGCCTCTCAGACAGATGTACCCCAACTTCGAAGGAAAGAGCTGGTGAGAGACCAAGTTTCTTTCAGGCAGACCATGATGATGCTACATGATGGTGAATATTGACACAAACAAGAATCCACAAACAAGAATCCACAAAATTCACTTAACTGAGGTCTCTCTATAAAAAAAACCAACATGTCTCTCTGGCCTATTGAAGCTCTGAAGCACATGTGAATGCAGGAAATTCAAATAGAAGCTTCCTCTTGTTGGTTCAAGGGCCCCATTATGGGGAAACAAGAATAGATCCACTGCCTCCCCAACAAGTGTTGTCAGAGTTGACTAATTGGTTTTTGTGTGGTTTGAGTACATCTGTCTGAGAGGCACAAAACTGACAGTCTGCACAGATAAGTCAGATCTGCAAAGCTGGTGTGCATGCAACATTTAGGTTTTGGAACAAGTCTTAAGTCCAGAGGTAAATGAACAACCAGAACTATCTGCTGGAGTTTACAGCCGGTAAAGTTAAGAAGGAGAAATAAAAGCACATAATACCAAAGCAAAACTTTTGGCCAAGAGAAACATCGGTGCAAGTCAAACTTTACGGGTCGCTGAGGGAATTACAAAAGATAGTGAAGTTCATGCGAGAGACAACATTGCAGATATAGATAATCTGTTTCAAGCGAACAGAAGAAGAAGAAGCACATAATAAGTCACTTAGTAACCTGCTTTGACTGATATATTTTGTGTCTCCTTTAACAGGTTATATCAGTGAGGTTCCCTGCCCTTGTGCCAGTATCCGACAAGCTGCTGGATATCTATTTCATGTTGTCAGCAGGCAGACATGATGTTGGGCAGCTGGAGTCAGAGTTACAGCAGAAGCACGGGAGATTTCTTTCAACTGGAGGCAGATTGATCTCCACAAGGTTCGTACTCTTGATTATTCCCTACTATATTTTTTTTGTGTTTTTGTTTCTTGTGTGTTTACATGTTTGTAACAGGGACCTTTGAGCTGAAATGCTATAGATAGATTAGCTAGTTGCCAATCCTTTACAGGATGTTGCAGAACCAACCCCAACAGCCCCTGGCTGTTGTGTGGTTTCTCTAGGCAATTTACATCCAGTAGTTTGCCATTGCTTTCTGGACGGTCGGCTTTCTTGATACCACTGTCGAAACCAACGCAAGGCGCATTGCCCGCAGCTGGGATTGAATCTGGCATCCCGGCATTACGAAGCGAAGCGTTTGCATCGACTTAGCCACAGAGCCGACTTATAGATAGATTAGCTAAAAAAAAAAAAGGCATTTTGTCTCAGAGGCTAAACTATTTTGGCCATATAAAGCACAACTGCAGAGTGGAAAAATAATAGCAAAAGGCATCATACCAGGAAGTAAGGGTAAAGGCTGATCATCATGGAAATGGGGAAGGAAATAAGTGACTCCTCCCTCTGATTTGGAAGTGCCTGAAGTGGGAGAGCTGGCGAGTGACTGGGTTTCTCTCAGGCAGACCATCATGAGAGCGATGTTCTGCAAAGGACCTACTGCATGATGATGTTTACTGTCAGTTTATTATCTAATTTTTGTATGTTTACTCTCAGTTTATTATCTAATTTCTGTATGTTTACTCTCAGTTAATTATCTAATTTTATGTGTACTAACAGTTATTTATATAATTTTGTATATTAACTGTCAGTTAATTATATAATTTTTTATATTAACTGTCAGTTAATTATATAATTTTTTTAAATTAACTGTCAGTTAATTATATAATTTTTTATATTAACTGTCAGTTAATTATATAATTTTGTATGTTTACTGTTGTTAATTATCTAATTTTATATGTTAGCTGTCAATTCTTAGTATCTAACTGTGTTCTCTAATCCTGTATGTTGACTGTCATATCTTGGGTGCTCCTCCTGTATGTTGACTGTCATATCTTGGGTGCTCCTCCTGTATGTTGACTGTCATATCTTAGGTGCTTTTCCTGTATGTTGACTCATATCTTGGGCACTCCTTCTGTATTTTGACTGTCATATCTTGGGTGCTCCTCCTGTATGTTGACTGTCATATCTTGGGTGCTCCTCCTGCATGTTGACTGTCATATCTTGGGTGCTCCTCATGTATGTTGAGTCATATCTAGGGCTCTTCTCCTGTATTTTGACTGTCATATCTTGGGTGCTCCTCTAACTCTGTATGCTGACTGTCATTTCATAGCGAGTACTCTTGACTTTCTGAAGTAAAGGCGGCCAGGTGATGTTGACCATATCACTCACCAAGGGCCAATTGGTCTGTGAAATAATAGGTCTGGCCCTATATGCCCAGTAGTCCTGAAGGCGTGGACATTGGTCCTTTACTTACTTTACCTACTCTGGTTCTGCTTGTTGGTTGTCAGTTCTCAGTGAATCCTCGTTTAATCCTCTATGTTGACTGTTCTTTGTGTTGCTTTTCTCTTTCTCTTACTGTGTATGTTGGTTCCTTGCAGGGATCTGATGACCTGGTGTAGTCGATCTAGTGTAGATTTTGATCACAAGGAGTCGTCACAAGGTCTGCGGGTGTTTCTGGAGGCTCTTGATTGCTTCGTGTCCTGTGTACCCAAGCAAACAACCAGACTGTCTCTTGCAACTGCCATTGGTGAAATATTAAACGTCACGGAAGACAGGGTATGTAGCCTTATGTTTTTTTTAAACTTTTACTGTTATATGTCTATTAACCTACTTGACTGTTTTAAAATTCTATATGTATCTGTATAAGGGAGCCGCCACAGTCTAGTAGCTAGACGCTCACCTGGGAAGTCATGGGTTCGAGTCCTGACAGGGGCCAGACTTTCTTCTTCTTCAAAAAATTACCTTGGCTACCAGGTCGACCCAGCCTTGAGTGGGTACCCGGCACAGTCATGGCAAGTAAAGGCGGCCAGCGTGATCGGAAGGTCATGGGTTCGAGTCCTGACAGGGGCCAGACTTTTTTTCTTCAAAAAATGATCTTGGCTACTAGGTCGACTCAGCTTTGAGTGGGTACCTGGCACAGTCATGGCAAGTAAAGTCAGCCAGGGTAATGCTGACCACATCATCCACTGTGTTCTGGTCTTTAAAATATAGGTCTAGCCCTATACACCCAATTCTCCTGAAGGTGCCAAAGGGTTTACTTTTCCTTTTTATATATCTGTAAATATAAAAACAATTGCTTTCTATATTGATTCTAGTTTTTTCTTTCCTGCCTCTCTTCCACTTCAGGTTTATTGTTGTCATAATTTACTTGTTTTTCCCTTTCTCATAGCTGGCTAGCCAGTCACCGTTTCAGCTTTATGGCAGATGGGTTAGCCCGTACTTTTCCCAAAACTGCAAACAATGGCCATAGCTGTTTCTTACGGAAAAGTTTAAACAGACTGCATTCTCGGCAAAGCTTAAAGCATAAGGCTGCTGATAGAAGGGCTATCACAAACATTCAGTGACTAGTTTGTTGTCGATGGAAGCATTCGTTACAGCAAAGCAGTTGCACCTGCAGTGCTGCATAAGGCACCACTAGTTCTCTAGCGACTGGCTGCTCGCTGATTTTCCATGTTTGCAGTTCACAGCACAGACAACCTTGGGCAGTGTGAAAAATAATTCCAAATAAAATTCACAGCTCAGATGTCACACTACGCGCTCAGCTCAAAAAGCAAGGCAATGGAACTATATACATTCAGTCCCATGTTGAGAGAGAGGCATGATGTATCAAAGGAAAGTGGTTTGTCTTTTTTTGTAGTTGAATTTCTTTCAGGACATCTTTGTTAGGCTTGTTTTTATCTATCAGGGTGTTCCTCTTCTTCTGTATAACCACATCTCTTCGACATAATTGTTCGGTTTTTGTCTCTGCTGTCTGTCACTCTCCCTGTATGCCTCAACCATTGCAGTCTGTTAGCCTTCCTCATGCCAGTAATTAGTAATGATTTAAATAGATTATGAATTTGTTACTTCTAACTCTCCATTCTCCACTGTTTGTATCTTCATAAGACTCTGTTCTTGGAGATTTGTAATTAGGTTTGGTCTTTTCTAGTTGTACTCTAGGTCTCAGAGCCGTATCTTCTTTGTTCACCGGCTGTAAGCTCCGGTTAAATAGTCCTGTTTTTTTTGTCTGTTTGGGCCTTGGCTTTTTTCCAGGGCTTGCGCCACTGGGGCAGATGCACTCCGACTTCAAAGAAAACCTTCAATTAGTTGACTGCTGTGACGTGCTTGTTGTTGAGACAGTGGGTGTATTCTTGTTTTCCCCACAATGGGGCACCAAAGCCCACATGGGGAAGAGCCATATAGGACAGCTGGTCTGGTCTTATTGTCAGGGCTGTACTGGGGATTGACAACAGAAGAGTATGCACACTGAAAAGCAGCTGATAAATGTGCTATTTGAAACAACTTTATGCTATCAGTGCCAGACATGGGACAGTCTTAGAAAAAACCTAATGTAAAATTACATCTCAGGTGAGATGTGTAAGAAGTGCAACAGGAAAAACAAGGAGAGACAAGAGCCAGTAGTATAGAACTAAGAACAGTACCAGTAAATGATTTCATAGAACCTCAAAGAAGCAAAATAGTTTGGTCATCTGGCCAGAATGGAACAAAATCAGCCAGCAGCTAGAGCATACTATGTGATAACAGCAGGCTACAAGACAAGAGGCCAACCAAGAAAAATGTGGGTGGAGGGAGTGAAAGAGACACTAAAGAAATGCAGTGTAACATGCAACTAGCAAAAGACAGAAAACTACATCTAACTCCTCTCTGTGACACATTACATCGTCAGCAGTAGGGCAAGAGAAGAAAAGGCAGAAGAGTCTTTACAGGCAAGTTTGCCAGCCACGGTAGCTCACGGGCAGATCAGAATTGTGATTTTGTTTTTTTTTATGTGTGTGTGTGTGTTGTTTTTAAAACAAAGACTCAGTATTACTTTCACTTTTTCCAGTCAAAATACTTCTGTACAAATTACAAGCCGTCACTTCAGGATTCTACACATTCTCTGGAAATCGGGAGAGCCAAGGTGCAGCGGAGGAAGATGGCTCTAGCAAGCTTGAGAGCGTATGTTTATTTTCATTTCTGATTTCTTCATTTAAAAAAAAATCCTTCACTACCCGTATCGCATTATATCTCATGGATCAGAATCATACAGTGGCAAATGTGAGAAACCCGGTTCAACCGAATAACACAGTTATATTCGGGAGACTGGAGTTATGTAGTCCTGTGTGGGTGGGTATGTGAGTGCATCATTTTGTCCACGTAAGGATTGAATAGCCTAAGTGATAATAAGAGAACTGAGTGAGCACAACATGCAGTTTATATCAATACAAGGTGGGGAAGGTACACATGGAAAAACTGAACATTTCACCCAGACTTCTACAGTAGATAAAACAACAGAAATCTCTTCTCTCTCTCTCTCTCTCTCTCTCTCTCTCTCTCTCTCTCTCTCTCTCTCTCTCTCTCTCTCTCTCTCTCTCTCTCGATGTGGAAGAATCAGACAAATGGAAATGTGAAAAGTAATAGTAGGCAAGGATTTTTTTTAGGGAGGGTCTAGAGCTGTGACTTTTGGTTGGTGTCATTTCCCTTGTAATCGCCGCGTTCCTAGCTTGTTTGTGACAAGCATAGTGAACCATATCGATTTTGTTTGCATCTGCGTAAGCTAGAGCGCTATCCATTATGCTACCAAACCAGAGCACTGTTCACTTTGTTACTAAGCCAAAGCACTAGCCAGTATGTTACCATATCAGAGCACTGATCATTAGGCTACCAGACCAGAGCACTATACAATATGTTACTTAGCCAGAGTCTTATCCAGTGTGTTACTATGTCAGAATATTATCCTGTAAGTTACCAGGCAAGAACACTATCCAATATGTTATCAAACCAGAGCACTATCATAACTAAATGAAAACATTATCCAGTTTGCTACAAGCCAGAGTTCTCACCAGTGTGTTACCGAACAAGAGCACTACCAGTATGTTACCTAGGTGGAGGCACTATCCACTTTGCCACGACTGTTAATTTTGTTTCCCAAACTTGTCTTAGTTACTGCGCCTTTTTCTTTTTTAATGAAAATTTTGCCATAGTGCCCTAGCCTAAGTAAAAAATATGACTATTCCTATAAAAAAGAGAAAAATAAATAAAACTTGCTTATCTTCAAATATTTCGCGGCGCCCCTGTGAAGAGGTTGCGGCTTCCCGGGGCAGCACACAGTTAGGAAATCACTGTCATAGATAGTTAAAAATGTATTCTAAAAATGTTTGCAATGCACGCACCATGTTGCCCCGCTGGACCTATGGTATTTTCTGTTTTCACCCGCAGGAAATCAGCTCCCACCTTCTCTTATACACGTGCATCAGTAGTGCTTCTGGAAAAGGTGGCTGTCTGCATCAATCGAAATGAGCCGGTTCTGTTAGCAGGAGAAACGGGAACTGGAAAAACTTCTACCGTGCAGTTTTTGGCACACCATCTCGGTTAGTTTTGTTTTGTTATGGCCATTCTGCCTTGTTAACCCTAAAAATGCTGTATAAAACTGACTGATGTTTTACCCCACCAGGACATCACACTGAGCGATAAACACCAGGTGACACAAAGTGCCACCATTCAGATAAGGACCACCTGTAGAAAGGTGTGTAGAGAGGTGGGTAAAAACCCATTGGTTGGGTCAGGGTTAGGTCCCCGGCAACATTATATAATTAAATATATAATACACAAATTCAGAGAAAATACTGCCTGTAAATAGCACACACAAATTTGACACGTAAGTCAAAAGATATTTATTCCAAGGGAATGAAAATTGAGTTTGTGTCAAAACAAATTTGTGCCAACCGAGGACTAATAACAATAATACACTCCTGTTGATACTAAAGTGTGTTCATTTTAATCAGATGTTCTTGTTAAGTGAGTTTGTGCTGAGGTTTAACTAGTATTTAAATGTTTACTGATGTGTCCTGTCTCTCTACTTCTTTCTTTGAGTGCCAGTCAAGATGTGTCAGTTTGTTATACTGTTTCTGCATCATTTAGTTGTACCCATCTGTTTATAATAGTTAATTAGTTATTCACAGTTTCAAAACTTCAGGGCGAAAACTACATTGTATGTTCGTCACTGTCCCTTGTAAACAAAATTGCAATTGACTGCAGCCTTGACAAAACCAATAGCACACACACACATCAAATTAACAAGGCAGCCGTCAGGTGGGCCAACAGAAATTACTACAGATCGGCAGCTGCATACACAGTATCACATAAGGCGCCACCAGTTCCATGGCAACTGGCCATTTTCTGAATCTGCGGTTTACAACAAAAACCATGTGGGGCCAGCTCAGTCGAAAAGTATTCTAAATAATTCAGCAACAGACATTGTCACACCATGCACTCAACAGTAGCTGGACGATGGAACTATATACTTTTAGTCCATAAAATTGAAAAAATGCAACAGCCAACCGCATCTAGAACTGATAATTTGCCAGTTGGCTGTTTATCTGCTATGCCTTACTAGGACTGTTTATAACACTAGCCTATCGTGTATGTCATGAGAGTGGCTGCTGTATTAAATAATTTAGTTTTCTAACGAAACAACATTTGGATGAGTGGTTTAAAAGATCCCAGGTTCAAAACCTTGGTAGGGGGATGTAATTTTTTTTTTCTGTTGATGGCAATAATAAATTCCGAACCCCATATTTCATGGCAACAGCAGTTCTGAATCCTTAGGCTAAAGATAAACGAGCTGCCCTAAAAAAATAGCATATGTATAAGAGCAGTAAACAATTTCAGTTTCTTTGTTTTAGGCCGTAATGAGAAGATGGCAGTTGATATGATTCAGCTAGATTTTAGCTGAAAATATTTAAAACATACTGTTGTTTTATGTTGTCTTTCAGGTCACAAATTACATGTCATCAATCTGAACCAACAGAGTGACAGTACCGATCTCCTAGGGGGGTAAGTTGCTTGTGTTTAGTGTCTGAGGCTTTGATCACAGTTGATAAGCTCTAAAAGATGCTGTGTGACAGTTTGACTAGATTCTGTAGTTCTTTACCATACAGTATGAAATCTTTCCCTTGGTATATTGTATAGAAACTGCACCACAAATGATGACATTTGTTACCTCATCACTCAACACATTTGCAGCCGAGTCTATTTTAACAATAGTTAAAAGACTGCTAATGCAACTGTGTAGTTCTGTAACGTGTCCTGGTCTCTCTAAAACAATACTACAGAGCTAGGAAGAGAGAAAGATGATAGAAGAGGCAGACAGAAAAAGACCTAGATACAGATAGGGATACAACTTCCACAGCCTTCTTCTCCAATCCTGTATTGCCTTTCAATGTCAGGTTTTGAAGAAGCATCGGCTATGGGCCATGGTATCTGCTTCATAAATGTTATTTACGGCCTCAAATATCCATCTATCCTTTGACCTCTTGCTCTGCTTTCGTTATTATGTGTGTGTAACAGGGCTGTCTGTGGTGCACACTGTGGTAGTCTTGACGCATGTCCAGACCATTTGGCATTTAGTCTCTTGATGTAGTTTAATGTTGGTTTCGTCCCTGCTTCTTTCCTGGTATCATCATTTTTTATCCTGTCTCTTCTAGTTACATTTAGGATTCGTGGTAGACATTTCATTTCTGTTTTAATTTTGTGTGTGTGTGTGTGTGTGTGTTAATGTCCATATTTGGTGCTGATCACAGTTTGGTGGAAATACTGTATTGATCAGTGCTCTTCTGGTGTCAGCCATTACATGTTTTTCTGCAAAATTGCTGACATTTGTTCAGTGAATTAATTTGCTTAATTAAATCTGTGATCTATCTCCACTTTGATTCTTCCGTTGGATGATGTTAAGCTCCCCATATGCTTGTCTTTTGCTTGCATGAGTTGGCGGTGTGTGGAGTTTCCAGGGAATCTGGCCGACACTCAACTCTCAAGGGAAGGGAGAGACGGATGTACAATCAGACCATTACTGGTACCGTCCGAAATGGAACTTCGCTTGCTGCTGAAGATGGGGACGGAGCACTTATGGGGGTGTCCCTAGTGCTGTGATGTCGGTTTTTAAATCAACATTTAACATCTTTTCCATAGATGCTTCTTAAAAATGTGTAATCATTGATGCTGTTTGTTTACCACAGCTTCAAGCCTGTGGACCTTAAGTTTGTCATGATGCCTCTGAGGGAGAAGTTTGAGGTGCTGTTTTGTGAGTCATTCTCCAGGACCCAAAATGTGACGTTTCTTTCCCATGTTCAGGTCAGGCACTTGAGATTGATCCATGTGTGTATGGCTGTATTCCCAATGTGGGTTCGGGGGGGAGGGGGGGGGGGGGTGTTTTGTGAGGAAAGAGAAAAGACCCACTGTCTTCCTAACAAGCAGGTCATAGGAGGCGATTTAGAGGGTCATCAGAACAAATCTAAGGGGTCTGCGAAATGAATTTTAAAAAAGACTTTAAAAAAAAACACGAACTACAAACTTTTATGTGTGCACGTGATTTTATTATAGATTAACTCATCTTACAAAGCCAGGCTCGTTGGGAAGCCCTGGTAAGGTGATATAATTTTTTTTTTGGCGGTGGAAAGATTAAAGCATCCTAGCCTGTACAGTTCGCGGCGACAGCACTAGCCGTGTGGCCTTTAACCCTTAGGCTTATGACCCCCTGTATACACCGCCGTAAAAGTGGTACATGCAGACAGTAGTGACAGTTTGTATGTTCAGTTTTTTTTTTTTCAATATAACTGTTAGAAAATATGGGCTTAATCGTAGCCATAGGTCTTTGGGTCTTATGTAATTCAGAACAGCTGCTCTATTTGATGGGGGACTGCTGTTGCATGGCAGTGATTTCACTTATCCCGGAACCACTTAGGGACTTTATAGGGAATAATTCTAAAGACTCGTTAAGACCTTGCTCTGCCAGGTTATTTTTTATTATTAGGCAACCGAGAGTAAGGTTGGTCTTGAATTGGATATCTCATCAAGTAACCAGCTGAGACCACAAAGGCCAAGCAACCATGGGGGGAATTAATTTGGAGACTAAGATAGGGAAGCTTGAGCTGTATGGGATTGTAGGTAATAAGAATGCTTGGGTTGAGTTGGTTGGGAGCCTGTTCTTCATTAGGGGATACAGGTCAGAAATAGAACATGTGTGTGCTGATTGTGGGCACCATGACCTCCAGGTTAGATGTGTAAATGGATAGGCTACACTTCCTTTGAAAGAACAAAGATGTTTGTGAAGACATTTACCTATGTTGAATGTGCATACCTTTGTGTGTGTGTGTGTGTATTGAGGGCACATGTCTGTGTGTTGAAGATGCATGTATGTATGTTGTGGGCCCATGTATGTCTGTTGAAAGTGCGTGTGTCTGTGTGATAAGTGTTCATATCTTTGTGTGAATGTGTTTCATCTGTTTTTTGAACAGTTTCAGTACATAATTACACCACCATAAAACATATTTGTCCATTTTTCAATTACAGACTTTATTTTCCCAAAAAAGATGGAATGATTTGTTGACTTTGATGGAAACCCCTACGAAAAGGGCAATCAACAAATTTGAAGCAGGTAAGTTTTGCATGTTATGTTTCTAATTTTGTGAAATTCTACAGTGAAACATAGAGGCATCACCACCAGTGATGATGGTATGCAGGTTAAGGTTAGTTGCGTATCCTTTACAGGACGTTGCAGAACCAACCCCAGCAGCCCCTGGCTGTTGTGTGGTTTTTCTAGGCAAATTTACCTCCAGTAGTTTGGTGTGCTGGGACAAGGGCTTATATAGATTAAGACCTATCTGCACCTGTCCATGGTCATCCCAGAAACTGATTCTCTGCTGGGTAGCATGGCCAACATAGATAGTTTAGGATCAACATTTGCTTTGAAGTTGGACTGCGTCTGCCTATACATTAAACTCAAGTCTGAGTCCGAAGAAGCTCAGCACAGTGCACAGGCTCTGTAGCACCAGCGAGGATCCTGAAATACTTTAGGTAGATTTTAAACTCCAGATTTTGCCTGGGCAGCACCGTTAGGCTACTTTTTCGATTTCCAACTGCCAATGGATTTTTTAGGTGCGCAACAATGCACACTGGTGTCTGATCTCACTACCCAAAGACCAGGAAATTACTAGAAGTCCAAGTCCACGTAAAAAAAATCCCAGCCCTTACCGGGAGTTAAACCAGAAACTTCTAGCACGCGAGGCGGACACCATGCCTCGAGACCACGCAGCCCCCTTATTCAAGACAAAAAAGGATGAAAGTAAAGGATCCAATTACTTATTTAGATGTTAATATCGATAGTCAAGGAGACACAAAGAAATAAATTGTGACACGCACTGGTAGGGCATCAGCATCTTTTAGTAGCTTGAACAAAACGTTTTAGAACCATGTTACATATTTTCAGTTCTAATGTTCTAACTCGCTCAGAGGATTTGATCATTTACACAGACGGTTCAGTGTCAATAGGCAAAAGAAGTGCTTGGGGCTTTTTAGCAAAAGTTAATGGTCGACGTTTGGTGCAGGAGAGCCTAGCATATGATACCACAACATCCAGCTTAAGAATGGAGGTGGAGGCGGTCACTGCAGCTTTCTGCTGGCCAGAGAACACGACACACACACACATTGTAATTGTAACTGATTCAGAAAGCATGCTGGGGAAGATCAGAACAGGTATGCTTCGTGCAGAGTGACATGCTTCGCTGCGGAGTACACGAGTGAGGAGTATTGTCTGGATTTTTTCACCGGGTTACGCCGGTGTGTTGGGAAATAAACAGGCGGACAGACTGGCTGGCTCTGCACAACTTGGTGGAATACTGCTACATGATAGGGCAGACGAGGTTAGTGCCTTGTGGGAGAGCGTGTACAATGCGGAGGAGCAGATGGATCACCACAGTCTGGTGAGATTGATGCAGTTGGGGGTGACGAGAGGTTCTGGCAGAAGCTAAAGGCTCAGAGGAAAAGCAAGACGGACGTTTAATCAGAAAGCTACTGGCACCATTAGTATCGGAACTTTTCGCTGGCTGCTGAAGATGGGGACGGAGCGCATATGGGGATGCCCCGAGTGCTGTGATGTCGGTTCTTGAATCAAATCAAATCAGTTCTAATGTTATTATCAAACGGAGAAATAGACTGAGCCCTATGTGACAATAAAGGGCATGCCAGGACAGTGTATGTGAAATTGATGGTTTATTAGGGTGATAAAGATCATGGTTCCCTGTGTGAGTTCCGGGGCCGCATTGTGGGGGAAAACAAGAACAGATTCACTGCCTGTAAGAGTCGACCAATTGGCAGCTTACTCCGAAGTCTGAGTGCATCTGACTGAGAGGCAAGGAGCCAACAATTTGAATGCAGACCTGTGGAAAGGATGTATGCCCAACACTCAGTTTCTGGAACAGGACTAGAGTCTAGAAGTGGACAAACAACCAGAGTTTACAGCCAGTTAACACAAAGACGAAGAAAAAGAAAGATCATAGTTTGTTAACTGTAGTCCTAAGCAGTTGTTACTTAACTCCTTCTATCCCAGAATGTTTAGCTGAAAAGCAATGAAAGGACTTCAACATAGTTACTATGAGCCATTAGAAGTTGAAACTGGTAAATAAAGAATTATGTTACTCTGAATGTATTTGTCAGGAACACCTTTGAATGACAGATGGGTGAAGCTTTCAAAACGTATACGTGACCTGAGACTGCAGATCAGGGAGATGGAGAATGTTCTGGCATTCTCATTTATTGAGGTAACTTTCATCATCACCATCATTACTAATATCAAAATTGTGCACATAACCTTAATGTATCATGCAGATGTGAATTATGGACAATAAAAAAAAAATTATCAGTGAAGGCAATCAAGACTTTTGAACTCAAATGTTACAGAACATTTCTTTAGAAGAAAAAAATTGTCAAAAAGAAAACTACTAGATGTGAACATTGAAGAAAACAGACTATAAACAATATTTCTTGGAGTCTTCCAGTTATGTCACTGTCTACTTCTTGCTCACCAACTTTAACCTGTTTTCTTGAGTATGGTTTTTATGAGTGTTTTATGCCTTTAAAAGATGGAAGATTGAAGCAGCCAGAATCAAGAATCGACCTTATATCCCTCTCAACACCTGGAGCTGGGAAATAGGAAATAAACAATAAGATGCTTTTTAAAGTTTCCAAAATATTTAACTTATCACCTTTCCTCCCTGCCCCCTCTTTCATCAGCTGTCTTTTTCTTATGCTGCGACCTTCCAGGAACTTCTGAATTTGTTTCTATGCCTAATTTATTGATTCAGATAATATATTGTTTCAATTGGTTGCTAGGGAACCTTGGTGAAAGCGTTGAAGAAAGGAGATTGGGTGTTGCTGGACGAGATCAACCTGGCCACGGCGGAAACACTGGAGTGTCTGAGTGGGCTGCTGGAGAGCTCGTCAGGCTCTGTTGTTCTCACCGAGAGAGGGTATGTGTTTTGTCATTGAAAAAGGGTATGTGTGTTGTTGTCACCGAGAGGAGGTATGTGTTTTGTTACCTCGAGAGGGTATGCTTGCTGATGTTACAGTGAGGGTATGCATTTTATTGTCACAGAGGGTATTCATTTTATTGTCACAGGGGGTATTCATTTTATTGTCACAGAGGGTATGCATTTTATTGTCACAGAGGGTATGCATTTTATTGTCACAGAGGGTATGCATTTTATTGTCACAGAGGGTATGCATTATATTGTCACAGAGGGTATTCATTATATTGTCACAGGGGGTGTTCATTTTTGTGTGACACTGAGAGAGGGTATGTGATTTTTTTGGGTCACTGATAGAGGGTATGTGTGTATCATGTTGTTGTCACTGTGAGAGAGCATTTGTTATTGTTGTGACTGAGAGAAGGTATGCCTGCCGTTGTCATTAGGAGAGGGTACATTATTAGCAATGATAAGTAAATCCTAAAAGTTGATGCAAGAATTCCCGACCACAAAAACTTACATTAAATGGTTCACCTCATAAGAATCGTAAAACAAAAAATTTCTGTTCTTCAAATTTTGTTTGCCAAAAACTCATCCTAATAATTTTCTGCCCTAAGAAACTAGAATAAGCGGAGAGGAAGAAGCAGAGGAAATTTTGAGTCTTTGCCAGTTAAAAAAAATGCAATGGGGTTGAAATCCATGACAGGCAGGCGTGATGTGATGGCCACTGCAACACTGCGGGCAGCAAGGCGCTAACAATTTTGTTTTTAAAGTCACACAAAGGTGTTTTTTTTTAAACATGAACTACTAGATACAAGCTGGACAATGAATTAACAGCTGTCCCTTCTTTTGACCATAAAAACATGGGTTTTGTTGATGCAGTCATGCAGAGTAAAGTGACTGATGGTGTCACAATGACATCACGGCAACAAAAAAGCATTTTTTTTTCAGTCCTAACAGCGTCTCCAGATGCAAGCAATACCAGAGTTATATAGTCATAGTGGCCACTGCCAAAATATGTCATGCCATCAAAAAGGTTTAAATGCAAGGGGGAAAAAACACTCCTTGGGGCGACAAGTTAAAAGCACTTCTATCATGAAGATACATTAGACAGGGGGATTAGTCTTCATGGTGAGTCCTGATGGCAGTGACATTCTTCGAAGGACATGCATCATGAGGATGAATCAATGAATGTGTCTGTTAGGCTTATGGTAGTTGTTGCTCATGGTTTCATTATTCTCTCCATCAGAGATTCGGAACCCATCCAAAGACATCCAGACTTTCGACTCTTTGCTTGTATGAACCCAGCAACAGATGTTGGCAAGAAGGATTTACCAGTGGGCATCAGAAACAGGTAACTGTTTGCATTATTATTTGTTTACCTCTGCTGCAATACCTATGCCTTTCACTCGACACATTGAATTTCAGCAAACTAATAATTAGTTGTCTTTTATGACAAGCGTTTAATATGGGGCATGAGGTATGTCTTTCCCCCATCCCCCACATTGGGGTGCCAGATCCCATTCTGGGATGAATATATTCATAGCTGTTTGGCTTGGTTTGCTTCACCGTCGGAAAGACCTGGTTGTCCATACCTGGGATTTGACTTTGTTCCAAGACCTGTGTTTTGCAAGTGCATCAGTTTTGCAGATCTTGTTTAAACAATTTTTTTTAAACATCCCATATGGCTATGTCTCTGTCCACAGAACAGCTAGCTTCCAGCTGAGAGCGTCAAACAAAGTATAAACTCCGTAGCTCTGGAAATGTTCCCCAAGATTTGTGTAAGAATTGCATTCATACACTGATCAACACAGCAGTGAATTGAACTCATGACCTTCAGAGCTCGAGGCAAGCGGCTTGATCACTTTGCCACAGAGTCTGCCTGCAGATAAGTATTTTGAAGTAAAGTCAGCTGGCATATGTTGACCTCAGCACCTGGCAATTGCTGATTGGTTTATAAACAACATACGGAATAACACCATGTACCAGTATGCCCTTAGATGCTTGGCGGTCGTCCCCTTGGTCATAAGTTCAGTTCCACATCAGGGCAGATTTTAAATATTTTTGTTGTTTTAGACTCCCAGATTGACCCTGTCTATTATGGGTGTCAGGATGTATTACGTGATGTAAAGATGACCTGTGTGGTGTTGACCACTTCACACACACCGAGTGTCATGTGGACTGGAACAGAGGAGCTGTTTTACAGGCCTGTGTGATACTTCACACACACCGAGTGTCATTTGGACTGGAACAGAGGAGCTGATTTACAGGCCTGTGTTATACTTTACACACACCGAGTGTCATGTGGACTGGAACAGAGGAGCTGTTTTACAGGCCTGTGTGATACTTCATACACACCGAGTGTCATGTGGATTGGAACAGAGGAGCTGTTTTACAGGCCTGTGTGATGTTGACCACTTCACTCACACCAAGTGCCATTTGAACTGGAACAGAGAAGCTGTTTTACAGCTGTAGGGGCCCTATGACAAATATGGTAGGTCACTAGACATAGGTAAAGATGGAGCCCCAATGCTGGCGAAGCACTCCCTGGTCAAGTGCCCAGCAAGCCCATGTGTTGTGATGGCACTGGCTATTGGCATATGCCTCTAGGTGTGGAATCATCATCACCACATGTCTTGCTGACTGAAGTGGGCAATTCTTCTTCTGCATTCGACATCAGTCATGCTGAACATTGAGTCCCGTCTGAATCAAAAATAAGATTCTACGTTTAAGGTCGCCACCGGTCCCCTATAGCTTCTCTCGCAATGTGGATCCCCTGGGCCAGATCCACAGTCTTTGCTGGGAGAGGTAAGGGCAGTACTGCGGTAGTGGGCAGTCAAACCTCTCAACCTGTGATCTCCAACAGCATATATCAGTTTGTGCACTAATACCATTCCATAACAAAAGGCTGTCAGGAAATATCTCATGTTGTCTTCCTGTGTCTGCCTTTCCCCAAATCTTTCCAGTGGTCACAACATGTTCCAGTTTATCTTTTCTCTTTACATAAAAAAAAAAAAATGATGACTGTCTCTTTCTGATGTTGGTGATAAGTTGCATTTGGTCCCTCCCTTGCTTCAAAAATTCTGGGTTACTATTTTGTGTCTTGTTGAAGAAATTATAAGTTTTGTTCTATATAAACAGATGTCTGAGGCCTCAAGAATTTGTTTGGCCTGCTTATACTGGCACTTTTGTGTCTTATCTTACATTCTTTAAGTGACAGTTTGCCAGTTTGAATGTAATGGGAGATTTTTGTTTTGGTTACAGGTTCACAGAATTCTATGTTGAGGAGCTCGAATGTCCGAAAGATTTGTCCATTTTGGTTAGAGGCTACCTTCCAGGGTTGTCACTAACTTCAAAGCAGGTGACTGATATCGTCAACTTTTATCTATGCATCAAAAATGATCCCTCGGACAGATTGATGGATGGTACTGGACACCGACCACATTTTAGGTAATGTCCATTCTTTGTACTTGAGTAATGTCTATTCTTTGTAGTTAAGTGATGCCTGTTTTTTGTAGTTAAGTAATGCCTGTTCTTGGAAGTTAATTAATTTTTGTGTGTGTAGTTAAGTGATATTTGTTCCTTGGGGTAAGTAAGGTCTGGTTCGTGGAGTTAAGTAATGTATATTCTTTGAAGTTAAGTAATGTCTGTTCTGTGGAGTTAAGTAACGTTTGTTCTGTGGAGAAGTAATATTCTTTCTTTGTAGTTAAGTAATGTCCGTTCTGTGGAGTAAGTAATATCCATCCTTTGCAGTTAAGTAATGTCCCTTGTTCACAGCTGTGTAATGTCCATTCGTTGCAGCTAAATAATGTTCTTTATTTGCTGTTAAATAATGTTTTTTTTTAGCAGTCAAATAATGTTCATTGTTTTTAGTTCAATAAATCACCTTTTTATGCCAGCACGACCAGGCGTGTAGATCCAGGTGAGGGAGGTTAAGAGCGATTGTTCAAATGCTTTCTGCTACCCATTCAGAGCACATACTACCTGTTGCGATCTTCTGAAGCATGTTACTGAAGCAATTACTGCATATGTGACACCATCTAGCAAAGCACATAAATGTAATGTTGACTATTGAATTTGGCCAGAATGTAACCATAATTTCAAGCTGAGTAACAACGCTAGTTAGTATGAATATAACTCACGAACTATACAAGTAACTAAAGTGCTTTTGTTTAAATAACAATCATTAGGCGGCCTGGAGATTGAAAGAAGGTGGTATGAGTTGCTTGTAACTATTTTTTGTATGAAGAAGGAAGTTATGATTTGCTTGTAACTGTTTTCAGTATGAAAAAAGGATTTCACGATTTACCTATAATTATTTTCAGTATAAAAAAAAAAGGAAAGATGTCATCATTTTTTCTCATAACTGTTTTCAGTATGAAAAAAGAGAATATATCATGATTTGCCTATAACTACTTTCACCATGAAAAAAAGAAAGGTATATGATTTGCCTATAACTAATATGAAATAAAAGGAAGATGTTATCATCATTTACATAAACAATTTTCAGAAGGTATGATTTACTATTTTCCTTATGATAAAGAAAGGTATCACCTATTATATTTATTTTAATATATAATAAATGATTGTGTCATAATTTAATGTATTTGTTTTTGTTTGATATTCTCTTGCAGTTTGAGGACTTTGTGTCGGGCTCTGATGTTTTGTGGGAGAAACCCATGCAGGAGTGTTCCTAGATCGATGTTTGAAGTAGGTGTCTTTCTGTACTAGATCTTTACAAATTATAAGCTATAATTTGATGTGTGTAGTAGTCAGTTCCTTTCCCCATGTTTCTAAGTCTTTCAGACACACACTCAAAGCATTTAGAGAGAGAGAGAGTGGTGGGAGAGGTTTTGACCTTTTTTGATTCATGTGGCGAAAACAACTAAAACTATAAAATGATGATGTAGGGATTTTTCAATTGTCTGTACTGCAACTGCCGTGGTGTAGTGAACTCGAAGGTCATGGTTTCATTTCGTGTTTGGTGCCTGATTCCCACCCCACCCCCAAAATAACCGTGGCTCCAAGGCTGACCAAACCTTGAATGGGTTCCAGAAAAAGACCTGGAAGGTAAAGGTGGCCGGCATGATTTTGACCACATCGCTGTCGATTGGTCTGTAAAATATAGGTTTAGCATCATATATCCATTATGCCTGATGGCATGGAAAATGGTCCTTTATTGTCTGACGTAGAGACACTGAAATAGCCAGCACCGACCATGGAAAGACATCTATGTAACAGTACGGGCATTCCACATCTTGATAGCAATTAATTCCATCAGTGTACTGTTGCAGTGGATTCCTGATTACAGTAATACTGAACCAGGTAACTAGATTTCCTAAAGCAGCGTCTGCAAAACAGCAGAAAGGTGGAACATGCAGTATGAAAATTGTCTAAATAATTCTGTAAAGCACAAGAGAAGACTGACTGAGCAGCAGGGATGTGCGTATTTATTCCTGTGCTGTTTTCAAGAGCTTTAAAGGTGCTCCAAATTGTGTGAAGAAATGACATTGTCCTGTTGTACCATGATACATCCACATAGGGCTGACAGTCTAGTCCCTACATTCAGTTCTGTCATGTGAAATCCTCTTGATTTCAAGGAGGAAATCCAGTCCAGTGTCCTTGACCTCTCCCAGCAGTGTTTGTGCCAGGGTTTCACTTGGATATCCTTGTTTTCCCATTTCATTTGTTTCCCTTTTCAGTGCTTGTTTGGTGATTCTCTGTTTTTCCTCATGATGTGCCTCTAGTGTATCACCATCTTATCTGTCTTATAGGTAAAAAAAAAAGTTATAGTCGTGAGATGTGAACCAGTGTCATTGCACACAGTTATAAACCATAAGTGCTCTGCTACTAGTACAGATAGCTGATAAGACACTGTCTGCCTGTGTTGCCATCCGCATCAAACTCCTTAGCTACAGCAAGCTACCTCCATTTACCCTAGAGTGTTAACTCTGGTACCCATTACCTAGAGGCTGGCTGAACCTCGGGATCCGCCCAGTTTTGAACACTAGCCATGGGCTGCAGCAAGTTGCAGCTGGATTTGATCCTATTGACTGCTAATGCTAACATGTCTTATAGGTAATGATAACAAGTGTTTGCTCAGATATTTCTCTTTTTTCATTGACCAGTCTTGAATTCTATTTAATAAAGAACATTTGTAATTTGTCCTGCAGGGGTTCTGTCTTAGCTTCCTAACCCAGCTTGACAGATCATCACATCCGTTTGTGGAAGACCTTATCATCAAGCACATTCTCTCCAACTCTGCACCAAAAGCTGTCTTGGGGCAGAAGCTACCAAAACCAGAGGGACCAGATGGAATGTATATCCAGGCAGCAGACTACTGGATATCAAGGGGTACATTGGAGCCTGTGGTACCAGCTGACTATATATTGACTCCCTCAGTGAAGTTAAACCTCAAAGATCTGGCTAGAGTTGTGTCTGCAGGGTGAGGCTTTTCTAGAATCTTTATATTTTTTGCTTTTTCTGCTACCTGTTCTTCAGTAGATTCACACTCACAAGACCTCACATTTTCTTGGGTATTGGCTAGTTATTCACACACTGTCTTAGAAATTTTGAGTTTACATCCATATCAGTCGAAATTGGGGAGGAAAAAATACCTTGGTATCTAGATTAGTCCAGTCTTAAGTAGGTGCCTGGGAGGTAAAGGCCACCAGTATGATGTTAACCTCATTGCGGTCAAGGGTTGATGGGTCTGTAGAAATACAATAACTTATCTTATGATCAACACGTCATGTGCCCCATTTGCAGGCTAGAACACATAACCCCCAGTTTAGGGATTATGTGGTTGAATCTCATTTGAGATTGGAATTTTGTTTTGAAACAGGCTTAATCTGGGCTGTCAGCTTGACTCAAACTAAAATCATTACCAGGAAATTCTTCATGAAGAAAATGTAATCATCAAAATATATTGACTACGTTACCTATGTACTCATAAGCTTCAAGGCATGAACAAATTGTTACAGCATAAAAAGAGAGAGGGAGAGAGAGAGAGAAGGGACTCTTTTCATGCTATTGACACATTTAACATAAAGTACTATATCATGATTTATTGTATAGACCAGTCAGCGCTCAGTAGGTGAAATGATGATCATGTTGGCCATCTATACTTTCTTGGAAATTTTCTAGTGCCTATTTGAGGGCGTGGTAGTTATGAAAAATGGGCTTCAGTATGGATTTGTACCCCAGATCTTACAATTGGCACTTAACTACCAAAGCTTCCCTTTAACTTTACTCACATATATGTATATGAGGGTCTGTAAAAAATAACTTCAACAGTTTAAGTAAATAACATATCTAGAATGCCACAGGAATTAGATAACAAAATAAATGTATTTAAAAAAAAATTAAAGATCACATGGTGAATTGTAGACTTTCGTGTTGATGACATGGCTAATCTTTGATATGCCCAGTACATTTGGCTAGAGACATGTGATTTGTATATTTCACTTGAAAGGACTCATATTTGTTTTTCATTATATAATGACGTAGACTGTAGTAATTCACCTGACCAGACTCAGCAAGAAAATGCAAAGTAATTTCTCTCTTTCTCTGCTTTCATCGACTGTAAACTCTGGCAGAAAGTTCTGGTTGTTCATCCACTTCTGGGCTCTAGTCCTGTTCCAGAAACAGTGTTGCATGCACATCCGTTTCACAGGTCTGACTAATTCGCATGTTGACTGTTGGTTCCGTGCCTCTCATGCAGATGTGCTTCGACTTTGAAGGAAGCTCCCAATTAGTCGACTTTTATGACATGCTTTTGGGCAGGCAGTGAGTCTGTTCTTGTTTTCCCCACAATAGGGCCTAGAACTCACGCAGGGAGGACAGGTAATAAATGGCAGTGCATTGTTCAGATTTATGGGAATTACGGTTTTTAAACTGAATGTTTGTCTTTGTGGTCAACAGAAAACATGCAGTGCTGCTTCAGGGAGAGACCTCAGTAGGGAAAACTAGCCTGATCACTTACCTGGCTCAGCTGACGGGCAATGTGTGCTTGAGGGTCAACAACCATGAGCACACTGACATACAGGAGTACGTTGGGAGTTACGCTGCTGACGAGCATGGCAAGCTGGTGTTCAAAGAAGGTATGTTCATTCTGTATAGGTTATGTATCTGACTGTTATCATGTTTTGTCCAAGGCCTCAGGTCGGGAGAGAAAAAATAATAATAGACTCACAACAACGTCATTATTGTCCTGTTGTGTCATGTTGACATTAATTTTCAGTTTGTTTCTCGGTTCTGTCCTGTGAAGTCCCTAGGATTTCAAGGATGATATCTAGTGCAGCATCTGTAGCTGCTCTCATCAGCGTTTGTTTTGGGGTTTATTCTGGATGTCATCGCTTCCTCAGTACCTTTATTTCCCAATTTAGTACTTGTTTTGATGATTCTCTGCTTATTTAATCTCATATGTCCAGTGTAGCTCCGTCTTCTTTGTCTTATGAAGGTTGCTACCATTGGTTGCAGCATTCAGTGCAGCATCTATAGTTGCTGTCATCCGCGTTTGTTTTAGGGTTTATTTATTCCTTTCTTCCTGTGTACTTTTATTTCCCGTTTTAGTGCCTGTTTTGGTGATTCTCTGCTTACTTAATCTCATAATAAGTCCTGTTCTGCTTTTCAGCGTCAGGTTTTGAAGAGGCATCGGGTGCTAACCTTGATATGTGATATGTAGGTGCGGGTGTTTACGGCCTAAGATTTTCCATTTATCCATCGCTTACATGGTCAATCTCTACCTCTGCTCTTATTACATGAAAATGATAAGGGCTCTGTAATCTAATGCCTGCTGCCTTTTATTCCCTGAGCTATTCCCCAGTACGTGTTTTTGACTGCTACAGCCTGGGAAATCATGTCAGTTTAACACAAAATTCTTCACTCGATTCAAGCACATGACTGCGAGGCAGGCAGGCAAGAGGGCCACTGTCCTGTTGTAGTCACAGTAGTCTAGGTTTTAACTTCACTAGCTTCGCGAAACCGTTACCCCAAACCCTATAAAAAAATTAGATTATAGTCCCTATATAAAATTAGCTATCCATTGACAGAAACATAAGTTTTGGACTGAAAGCCTGCCCTGCTGTTGCAGCCAAACTTCTCATTTTATGTGAAATCCAATGAAGCCAATGAACTGAAAACAAAATTAGTAACAGTCTTGTCAAATTCATCTTGGTTTGTGGTCATGCAGTTCCAGTGCTTTGTCTTGATGTTAGAAATGTCCCATCAGACAAGAGTAGGGTGATTATCATTAGTTGGTTTTGAAAGTTATTTTGTAATGTCCAATGAATTTTATTATATTTATGAGATGATATTGGAATCAACAGGAGTCCTAGTGGAAGCCATGAGGAAAGGCTACTGGATCATCTTGGATGAGCTCAACTTGGCACCGACAGATGTTTTAGAGGCCCTTAACAGAGTGAGTATATGATGAGTGGAGATGTTTATGAGGATTATTTTGTTGGAGTTGGTGTATGGATTATTTTGTTTAAGGGTTTGTGTGAGGATTATTTTGTTGAGTTGGGAGGATTATTTTGTCGTAGAATTGGTGCAAGCTTATTTTGTTGTGAAGAGGGTTTCTTTTTCTTCTGCTGCTGTGTTCACACTTGAAGGGGCCGTTTGCATTTTGTGTTATGGTTTACAGCTGGGCTGTGATAGCTGTATCTTTTGACCATACATTCAATTTCAGCAAAGCATAATTAGTTATCCTTTACAACATGCTTGTTGCAGGGACAGTGGGCCGATTCTAAAAAAAATGGGGCAGAGAAGATGGTTGCAGGCTTCATACTTTCTTATATTCATGGCAAAAGTGTGATTCTTTGTGTCCCTAGCATTTGTTTATACTTCTTCATGTCCTGTTGATGCATAAGGCATTCATGAGTGGTCTTCAGTGCTGTCGGTCTGCTACTTGTCTGTCCATGGTATCCCATGACAGCTAACATTTCTTCGTTTCCTGGTTACTCAGTGGAAATGCCAGGCAGACATACAGGCAGACTTTTGCTGGTACCATCCTAATTGAAACTCTTCACTGTCTGCTAAAGATGGGGGCGGAGCGCTCATGGGAATCTCCCTGGTGCTGTGATGTTGGTTTTCAATTTATCTCAGCTCATTTCCTGGTTGTTTGTCACATACATATCTGGTGTGTTCAGTCACCTTAAAATTTTTCCTGCAGAACCCTTGGAGAAAACAACCATGAACTGGGGAATTGAAAAAAAAAAAAAAAAACACTTACACTCACTTACACACTTTCTTTGAATAAAATGAACATTTTCCTCAGGTCACAAATACACTAAAATATATTTTTAATATAAATTCTTAAAATTGTTTTAGAAATATGTAAAACTAGGCTTTCAACTTTTTAGTAAATATAACAATGCCTGGTCATACTAAACTCTGCCCAGTCACAAACAGAATTAGTGTGTTAACTTGGCTTGTCGAGGACTTGCTGTGCAACACTGTTGGTTAAATGACTTCTTGGGGACCTGTAACGGTGGCATTGTTGGAATAGGGGCCGTATCTTGGGCAGTAGTTATCATTGAAGTAAAAATTCACAACAAAGACAGAAATGGCACAGATTCTATCTTATTGGCGACAACTGAGAACCCTAAATGGGGTCAACCCCAAGAAGAGTAATGGTGCAGTGGATATTATCTAACTGAGGTGTACCTATTACAGTGGACTGTATCTCATTGTGGCTTACTAACAGTACTAGATGCTGTCTTACTGTGGCTTCCCACTGTAGTGGGTGCTGGTTTACTGTGGCTTACCCACTGTAGTGGATACTGTCTTACTGTGGCTTACCCATTGTAGTGGATGCTGTCTTACTGCAGCCTACTGTTATTTACTGTAGTTGATGCTGTCTTACTCCGGCTTACACACTGCTGTCTTAATGTGACTTACCTAAGGTAGTGGATGTCGTCTTAATGTGGCGTACTATAGCTTACCTAGTGTAGTGGATGCTATCTTACTGTGGCTTACCCACTGTAGTGGATACTGTCTTACTGTGGCTTACCCATTGTAGTGGATACTGTCTTACTGTGGCTTACCCATTGTAGTAGATGCTGTCTTACTGTGGCTTCCCACTGTAGTGGATGCTGTCTTACTGTGGCTTACCCACTGTAGTGGATACTGTCTTACTGTGGCTTACCCATTGTAGTGGATGCTGTCTTACTGCAGCCTACTGTCACTTACTGTAGTTGATGCTGTCTTACTACGGCTTACACACTGTAGTTGATGCTGTCTTACTGTGACTTACCTACTTACTGTGACTTACTGTGGCGTACTATGGCTTACCTAGTGTAGTGCATGCTGTCTTACTGGGGCTTACACACTTATTAGCAGGGCACATGATAAAGATGAACGAACCGGCTCTGTTTTATTGTTGTAGTGATGTTAGCCTGGGCAGAAACAGCAACATTATTCTGACTTATTTTCCCAGCTTTTGGATGACAATCAGGAGCTTTATATACCAGAAACACAAGAAATGGTGCAGGCTCACCCCAAGTTCATGCTGTTCGCCACCCAAAACCCTCCAGGACTTTATGGTGGAAGAAAGGTAGGTAACCTGTTTGTTCCATTGGTGAATCAGTTTACAGAATGTCATTGGTGAATCAGTATCCTAACTCCCATTAGTGGATCACTTTGTTAACTTTCATGGGTAAATTACTATGTATACCTTTTTTGGTGAATTATGGCAGCTGCCATTTTTGAAGCAGAAGGCAAGCTATCGCTGGTGAATCGTTGTGTGAACTAAAATTGATGAATCAGTTACTTTGTATTTGTGAATCACCATGTTAACTTTTATTGATGAATCACGTTAACTTGTTTTGGTGAATCACCTTTAAGTTTTATTGGTGAATCACTAAGCTTTTTTTTGTGCATCACCTTGTTAACTTTTATTAGTGAACCACTGTGTTATCACTTTCCTCGCTGAATATCCTTAGGTTAACTTTGCTTGGTGAATATCCTTAGGTTAACTTTCCTTGGTGAATATCCTTAGGTTAACTTTCCTTGGTGAATATCCTTAGGTTAACTTTCCTTGGTGAATATCCTTAGGTTAACTTTCCTTGGTGAATATCCTTAGGTTAACTTTCCTTGGTGAATATCCTTAGGTTAACTTTCCTTGGTGACTCAGTATGAAAAAAGTAAAAGTCCCTTTTCCACGCCTTCAGCCGTATAGGGTAAATGGAGTTTGACCTATATTTTTTTAGACCAATCGGCACAAGATGGGTGATGTGGTTAGCGTCACGCCACCCGCCTTTACTTCCAGGGACTGCACCCGGTACCCACTCAAGGCTGAATCGACCTTGGAGTCAGGGTCATTTTGTTTCTTTAAAAAAAAAGTCTGGATCCGCATCTAGCCGCTCTGCTACGGCGACTTCTGGTGAATCACTTTGCTAACTTTTATTGGTGAATTCTCTTGTTAACTTTTATGTTGGTGAATCATTGTAACTTTTATTGGTGAATCCCTGTGCTATCACTTTCCTTTCTGAATCTGTAGGTTAACTTTTCTTGGTGAATCAATATATAAAGTTTGATTAATGGTGCAATGAGATTGGAATTTGAAAAAAAAAAACGATTAGGCTGTGAGACCAGCCCATGATTATGTTGCTGAAATGTTGCAGATCTCCCACCTCATGTACTTTCATACTCAAGGAGTCACTTGTATCCTTGTTGGTTAGCCCCTGCCCCTCCTTCCTGCTGCCATGCCTTCTGCTTTTTTTTTTTCCAATCCGTCGTGGCGCTTGATATGACCAAAATATTTTAGCTTCCGAGACAGGATGCTGTTTATTAGCCATTCTTCCTTGATGTTCAAATCTTTCAAGATGTCATATATTTCTCCTCTTCTTTATCAATTATATCCATTATATTTTAATATGTACTATTATTTTTTGCTTCTTTGATGGATTGTATTTATTTTCAGTTAGCCAAAAATGTTTAGGTACTTATTACCCAGCACTTTCCCCGGTGTTCACTTTCTTTATTATGCCTTGATAACATGCACTTTACTTGTTTTGTTCCTTTAATAACTTGTTTTTCTTTTAAATTATTCAAAAATGTTCAGGTACCTATTACCCAGAACTTTCCCCGATGTTCACTTTCTTTATTATGCCTTGATAACATGCACTTTACTTGTTTTGTTCCTTTAATAACTTGTTTTTCTTTTAAATTATTCAAAAATGTTCAGGTACCTATTACCCAGAACTTTCCCTGGTGTTCACTTTCTTTATTATGCCTTGATAACATGCACTTTACTTGGTTTGTTCTTTTGATAACTTGTTTTTCTGTTCATTTATCCAAAAATGTGCAGGTATTATCCCGAGCTTTCAGGAATCGCTTCATTGAGCTCCACTTTGATGAGATCCCCGCCCCAGAGCTGGAGACCATCCTACATCAGAGGTGTGCAATTCCGCTGTCGTATGCAAAGAAGCTTGTGGCTGTCATGTTGGAACTGCAGGTAAATATTTCTTGGCAGTTTTTTCCATTAACAAATACTTGCGACTTTGAATTTTGTAAGTAATAGAAATAGTTCACCTAATAATTATGGAAGTATCAGTTTATTGTGAAGGAGAGTTTATATAGAACGATAGGTGCAGATATCGCAGCTATGCTGTAAACAGGCACAACACATTGATGTCACTCAGACAAACGAAAATGAAAAAGAAGTTGCCTATTTTTTTTAAAACATTTACAGATCTGAGTTATCTTGTTTCTACTTCTAGATGCGACGTCGAGGCTCTGGCATATTTTCGGGGAAGCACGGATTTATGACCCTGCGAGACCTGTTCCGTTGGGCTCAGAGATACAGCTGTCCTGAAGCTGGAAAAGGGGAAAAGTTTTATGACTGGGACCAACATTTGGCTGAACATGGTAAGGCATTGTGGCTGTCTAGACCGGGGCTGTTCAACTTGCTTCCCACGCCCAAATCTGGCCTGCGGAAACCTTGCAAGTTGCCCGCAGATCTTATTTTTCTTTTCTCTACTCCTGTAGTGCCTTTGTTTAAAGTACTTTTTAGTGTCTCTGATATTTCTGCGGTCCATTTTCTGCGTGGTCAACCTCTAGATCTGTTACTGTTGTATCTGTATAACATTGCTCTCTGTGGTGCCCTGTCTGCTGCCAATCTTGTTACATGGCCACACCATTTGATTTGTTGTCTACCTATATAGTTCAGTATTGGTTCTGTGCCGGCTCTTCTCCTGATCATTGCCAGTTTTATTGTATCAGTGATCATTCTTTGCTTGGGCTGGGGCATCTGGCCCGTCAGATATATGTACGACGAATCTTTGGACCCAACAAAGATGCAAACAGCGGGGAATGGAGAGTGAGAAGCAATAAAAAAATTCATAATTTGTTTAAAGCACCACTGATCACTGGCATCATGAGAGCTAATAGACTGTATTGGTTGGGGCATACTGAAAGAATGTCAGATGACAGAGGAGTAAAAACGGTATACACAAGGGAGATGACTGGCGTAGACCACGAGGCAGACCAAGAAGAAAATTGAGAGATAATATCCAGACAGACCTGCAAACACTTGGTGTCAACTAGAGGGATGAAAGGCCAACCAGAGAGATGAATTTAGGCGGATAATATCTGCGCCAGTGAACTTAGAGGGCTTGGCATGCTAAAGAAGCAGAAGAAAAAGATATATGATCGACTGTGTTCCAATGCGACCAAAAAATTTGACAGATTTGTATTTTCCAAGACATTTTTTTTTTTAAAACTGGTTGTATGAGTTCTACATAAAACACAAAAATTAAATGTGTGTGTGTATGATTATTGTACATTTTTTGAAAAATACATATGTACTTTATTGCATTAGTTCCAGGAACTGTTTGATCCTACCAGTCTAATCTAATCTTTATTTACAATTGTGTATGTGTGTGTGGTAAGGTCGGTTGTAAGTGTAGATAATCATTAGTCGGAGAGGTCGTAGTCAGAGAGAACCTGTATTGTTCTTGGACAACTTCATGAACACTTGATCTATATATGAAATAGAGCACAACACGTATTTGTCTTCCTTCTTCTAACGGTTCTTGGTTGTATTTGATTGATGCCCAAAACCTTCTCTCTTGTAAACTGCCAGGAATTGCTTGTGTAGGTGTTACTCCAAGGATTATTGATGCTTTCATTTCCAGCATCATTTCTTTGGCACACCCTCTCTCTCTGTTTCTCTCTCTCACACATGAGCACACATACATTCACAAACTTACCCTCTGTCTCTCTCTCTCTCCTTCCGACTCTGTCTCTCCACCTTCAGACTCAAGCGGTTTCCTGATATATCTACAATGTTTTATTTCATCGAACCTTTAGGTTACATGCTGCTCGCAGGCCGAGTGAGGAAACCAGAAGAGGAGGTTGTCATCAAAGAAGTCATAGAGAAGCATCTCAAGCGGAAACTACAGACGGATGCCTTGTTTACAATCTTACCTCAGACTTCGGCACCACTGGCTGCCATGTTGAATTCTGTGACTGGCCAATCACTGCCTGGCTTTCAGCACATTGTTTGGACCCACAGCATGAGGAGACTGGCTGTTTTGATTGGGCAGGCCATTCGATTTAAAGAGCCCATTCTGCTTGTGGGAGACACAGGGTAGGCACTTTCAGAAATCTTATAAAGTAGTTTTCATTGTCTAGAGCAGCGGTTTTGATATTATTTAGGACACCCCTTTACATTATCTTAGCCATCCCTTGACATTATCCAGGAAATCCCTTGAAATGTTTTAGGACATTTCATGACATCTGAGACATCCCTAGATATCTGGGACATCCCTTGACATTACCCGTGACATCCCATGACATTATCCAGGACATCCAGTGACATTATCCAGGACATCTTTTGACATTATGCAAGACGTGCCTTGACATTGTCTGGGATATCGCCTGAATTGGTCCTGGACATCCCTAGATATCTGAGGCATCCCTTGACATCCGTGACATTACCCGGGACGTCTCTTGACACTATCCGGGACATCCCTTGACATTAACAAGGCATCCTGTGACATTATCTGGGACATCCCTTGACATTAACAAGGTATCCTGTGACATTATCCGGGACATCCCTTGACATTAACAAGGCATCCTGTGACATTATCCGGGACATCCCTTGACACTATCCAGGATGCCTATCGAAACCATGCCAAGATTTCTCGGTTGCTGGGGTCATTTACTAAAAGTACCGAACTTGCTGTTAATTTTATCACCAGTATCGCCACGTTTGTATGGAAACTGGATCCTTTACTAACAATACTAAACAATACATTTGTATCACAGAATTATACATAATTATGGGGGGGGGGGGGGGATGGTGTTGAATTCTTTCGAGGGGGGGGGGGGGGGGGGATATGAAAATTCAACCACGTTTTTGGCATTGATTGGCACTGAATTGGTTTAGCCATACCTTTTCATCATCTGTGATTTCCAACAGCATGCATTTAGTTCATATGCTGACACCGCTCCATACCATGACCAAAGTTTGTCAAGAATCTTTTTATGTTGTCTTCCTCTTTCTCTCTTGTAACAAGTCTTTGCAGTGGTCACGTTCCAGTTCCCTCTTCTCAAAATTTGGCCAAAACTGATCACAAAATGTTTGTGTTATCATCTTGGGGATGTCACCTGTTATGCAACATATGGGTTACTCATTCTTAAGTACATCCATTGAATCTGATTATTAAATACAAATGAAGTTTGATTCCACATGTTTAATATGTTCAGGGTTGGAAAGACTACTGTGTGCCAGCTGTATGCAGCACTGCAGGGAAGACATTTGCTCAGCATCAACTGTCACATGCATACAGAGAGTGCAGATTTCCTGGGTGGTCTCAGGCCAGTGAGATCACATGATGATTCTGTAAGTTACTGTTGCTGTCTTGTCCATTCACTCATCAGTTTCCACTTCTGCTGCTAAGTGTTGTGGGGACGAACAGTTTACGACCCATAGCTTGATGGGCAGCATTGGCTGTTGTCATTCCATGTCAATGTAGAAGCTCTTTGATGTTATCAGTCCGTGTTTTCCTAGGGCAGCCTCTTGCTTTCACGTTAGGTCTGTATTGGTTGCTGTTTTGGCTGCATTCTGACTAAATGACCAAAGCCTTTGACCTTCTGTTTTCAGTAAATTTGCCGCATGGTGTTGTTTCTTCAGTCTGTTTGATAATTTAATTTCTAATGTTGTCTCAGATGGCTAAGTTGGTGGCTTTTCTCAGGCATCTCATTTCACAGGTGTTAATTTTACGTAGCTCGGCCTTTGATAATGTCCAAATCTGGCACTGGTAGCACAGTGTTGGTATGAATATGCTCTTTATTATAACATGTTTCTTGGCGCTCATACTTAGCCCATTCACTGGCATACCAATATGGAACTCATTTTATTTCTTTTGCTTTATGGGAAGAATAGACACATTGCCTCCCAAACAAGCATGTCATAAGAGTCAACTGATCAGGGGTTTCCTTCAAAGAGTGCATCTGCCTGAGAGGCAAGGAACCAACAGCCTGCCTACACATAAGCCAGATCTGTAAAGTAGATTTGCATGCAACATGTAAGTTTTGGAGCAAGACTAAAGTCCAAAAGTGGATCAACAACCAGAATATTCTCCTGGAGTTTTCAGCCAGTGAATCTGAAAAAGAAAACAAATTCTTCTGCTTGTCCAGTTTTTTTCTTTGTCTTCACTGGCTGTAAACTTTGAAGAAGGAGAGCTCTGGTTGCTGGGCTTTAGTTATATTCCAGAACTTTGCCTGCACACAGACAAGCCAGTTTGGATGTGCACACTCAAGTCTTGGAATAGGACAAAAGTCCAGAAGTGGACGAACAGCCAGAGTTTGCACACAGGAGAAAATGGAGAGGCTGGAGTCTACAGAGCAAAAAAAAAAAAAAAAAAAAAGGTAGAGGCAAAAGATTGGGTGGGTTAGAGGGAGATCTGTGGTAGACAGACTACTGGTTGCTGAAGATGAGGTTGAAGCGCTTATGGGACTGTCACAGATGTTGTGATGTCAGTTCTTAACTCGACTCAACAGTGGTAAACACTTAGTTTTTCCACTTGTAATGTTTGGCTCTACTACTTCCATGTACTGTTAATATTTTTGACTCTACTGCTTCAGTGTACTGTTAATATGTTTGACTCTACTACTTCCATGTAATGTTATGTTTACTACTTCCATGTAATGTTATTTTTGACTCTACTACTTCCATGCACTGTTAATATGTTTGACTCTACTACTTCCGTGTATTGTTAATATGTTTGACTCTACTACTTTTCTGTACTGTTAATATGTTTGACTCTACTACTTCCGTGTACTGTTAATATGTTTGACTCTACTACTTCCGTGTACTGTTGATATGTTTGATTCTGCTACTTGCGTGTACTGTTAATATGTTTGACTCTACTACTTCCGTGTACTGTTAATATGTTTGACTCTACTACTTCCCGGTACTGTTAATATATTTGACTCTACTACTTCCCGGTACTGTTAATATATTTGACTCTACTACTTCCCGGTACTGTTAATAAGTTTGTCTCTTCTACTGTTGTGTACTGTCAAATTGTGATGTCTTTTTTAGACATAGAAAAACTAGAACTTCCTGTTTGAGTGGAAAGTTTGTTCTTTGGTCACAGTTTGGAGTGAGTTAGATGCGGACCTATGTTAGACACTTTGATGCTTGATTCTGCTTCTGTCATGTGTCATCAACTTGTATGCTCCCCCAGGAGCAGAGGAACGAAAACATTCTGTTTGAGTGGAAAGATGGTCCTTTGGTTACAGCCATGAAAGAAGGTGCCATGTTTCTCATTGATGAAATCTCTCTTGCTGATGATTCTGTGCTGGAAAGATTAAACAGGTATGTATTGTGTTGAACTAGTGTCCTAATATCATCCATTGAATTTTCAAGAATAATATTGCCTCATATCAGTTATGTCAGCATTTTAAAAAAAATGAGCAAACAAACTTTATTTTTTAAATGGCTTAGAATTGGTCGACAAGGTTCCTTTAATATTCTTTCCTTAAAAAAAAAAAATGTAACATCCAGTATGCGAAAGAAGGGAGTAATATGTAGGACACATTCTGAGACATAGCCGATAATGCATCACAAAATAAGTATTAAAATGGGAAACAATGAAGCGAGGACATCAAGGCACACTCTATCACAGACATTGATGGTAGAGGCTAGAGGTGTTCAGCTGGATTCAATGCTTGCAGTTAAAAGGACTGCACATGATAGAGTGGAAGAATTGGTTGTCAGTCATATGTGGGGTATAAATGGCACAGTAGGCTCATTATTATGATGATATTAACCATTAGTGGTTATGTTATATGTTGACATTGTCATCAGCAAAGGGATCAAAGAAGTTTTTGTTTTATTCACTTCACTTTCACTGGGCTGTTAAAGGATTGAATGGAATAGAAGAATCGACTGTGAATCTTTTGGGAAGTATGAATGGCACAACAGGATGTTAGTGGTATTGTTATATGTCATTTATGATGGGACCAGAGAAAAGTCTTGTTTTTTATTTTTACTTCACTGCTAGTGTGCTGGAGCCAGAGAGGACCATTTTGTTGGCTGAGAGAGCTAGTGGAGGAGAGGCTGAGATAGAGAAGCTGCAGGCTGCAGAACACTTCCAAGTGTTTGCCACCATGAACCCTGGAGGGGATTTTGGCAAGAAAGAGGTGAGATGTTTATAGTTCTTCTTCTTCTTCCTTCTTCTATTTCTTCTTCTACTTCTTCATCTTCTGTTTCTTCTTCTTCTTCTTCTCCTCTTCTTCCCCCATTCTTCTTCTATTTTGTTTTCTATTTCTTCTTCTACTTCTCCTTCTGCTTCTGCTTCATCTACTGCTTCTGCTTCTTCTTCTGCTTCTTCTTCTCCCCTTCTTATCCTTTTTTTTTCTCCCTCTTCTTCTTCTTCTTCACTTCTCCTCCTTCACTACCTCTTGCTCCTCCTTCTTCCGCTTCTTTTTGTGAGCACTCGTTTGATACTTCTAATGACCACATTTTTGAGATATCAACTGTTAAAATAAATTTTTATGCTGTCTGGACTTCTTCCTCTTAAGTACAAGCAATTGGAGAACACAAAGTATAGGTTAGCTGTACGGAACTGTGATTACAGTACACACACACACACACACAAAGGCAGCTTGTTAGTTCTGGTTTTGCATCACACCTTAGGGCCGAGTAGACATAATGTTTGACAATTCTGATTTTGAATGTGATGTTTATCTCTCTACTTGTCAATAGTTGTCACATTTGGTTGAAAATACGTTATGTTATCACAATTGATGTCACTGCACATTAGGCATTTCCATGTATGCTCAGTTATTACTCATCTCTGCACAATATAGTAAGGTTGAGTATACATAACATTCAGCAGTTCTTATTTTCAGTGTGTTAAGGTCATGGATTCGTTCCCTGGCAGAGCCGGACTTTAAAAAAAAAAATGACCTTGGCTCCCAGGCCGACCCAGCCTTGAGTGGGTACCGGGTGCAGTTACAGGAAGTAAAGGCGGCTGGTGTGATGCTGAACCACATCACTCATCTTGTGCCGATTGGTCTATAAAATATAGGTCTAGCCCTGTATGCCCTTATGCCTAAAGGCGTGTAAAAGGGTGC